TAAATAAATCTTTAAAATAAAATTATAGTGTGAGGGAATTGGTCCACTAAAAATTGTAAGCTAATTTTTAATTGGTATTCCTTTGTCAACAGCAATAAAAGAGGTAGAATGACACCAAAATAACTGGGGAACTTAAGAAATTTATACAAGATTCTATTAAGATAATTCTAACATAATTTGATAACTTCCTCAGCTTTTCTTCTTTATTTATAAGATAATTTAAGTAACTTTTTTCCTGTGGAATTTTGTATTTTTACAACCTAACTATATAGCCATATAATGCTCCAGAATCTTGTCCAGGCACCACAGAATGTAAAAATAGAAATTCAAACATATTCACCCACGCAAAAACTGGCTATTTGCACTCAGGATAAACAAAACTTACTGCTGCTCTCCTATTTTCTGCTCTCATTTTCTTTTGGAAATCATCACAGGATTTTGCCAAGGACCTCTGAGAACTTCCTGCAATGCCAATGAGAAGGCAGGCTTGCCGCCAGGATGCCAGCAGTTGGTAAGCAAGACTGCAGGGGCCTCAGCCACCATGAGAAGGACATGTGGCGTGAACAATTCAGGTTAGAGCTGCACAATGTTTGATGTATTCTCCCCGATTTCTTATATTTTATCTTTTTCGTAGCTCTTCTTATCTTCTAAGAATTTGAGAACTGGGCCCCCTGCGGGTGGAAGGTAGTAAGTTTCAGCACTATAAAGCTATCCACAGACATTATAGTGTGAATTCAATCCCTGACCAGGGAAGTGACCCACATGGCACAGCAGACCTCTCCTGTCTTACCCAACTGCTCCCCTCAGCAGTGTATTTCAGTCCATCTGCCTGTTCTGCTCCCCACTCTGTCTCTGGTGAATCTTGTCACCATCCCACACCTCTGTGTGTATCTGTATATTTGTATACGAGCTGTTTGGTCATATACAAATCAAGTGCTAAGGTTGTGGCCTGTTGGTTTTGTCTTTTTGTTCTTAATTTTACATCTGTAAACTCCCAAAAAGCAAATCAACTGCGTGCTCCCATGTCCTAGACAGGAACCATAGGTTCATAGGTGTAGTCCCTCCTGGATTTAAAGACAGGAAGATGACCATTCTCCACTGCCCAGATCCAATGACCTTCAACCCCAGGGGTCCTAAAGTGGAGACTGATGAAGCATTAAGTAAGCCTGAATTCAGACTGGGACAGGAGACGCTGCAGGCAACTGGAAAACCTGGAGTTCTACATCTGGCCCACATGGAAAAGAACTGGAATTGGAGCAAGACTTCAGGCAACACCTCAAAGCCAGTATCCTTTCCTTGATCTTCTGTTAATTGCTGCATTTAAGAAAGTGGACACTCTGGGCCCTCCCTGGTGGCGCAGCAGGTTAAAGTACAGCACTAAGAAGCTAAAGCCACTTCAGCATGAGTTCGATCCTGATCCAGGAGGTAACCCACATGGCGCAGCAGACCTCTCCTGACCCACCCGCTGCTCCCCTCAGCAGTGTACTTCATCAGTCAGCCTATTCTGCTCCCCACTCTATCTCTGGTGAACCCTCTCACTGCTCCTACACCTCTGGCCTATACCCTAGATATGTATGAATAAATAAATAAATCTTAAAAAAAAAAAAAAGTGGACACTGTCTGTAGTGATGGGCTCTTCCCTATTGGAGGGGAGGTCTTTTCTTTTCAGGTTAATACACTATCATAGACATAAAATAAGGAGTCATCTGGTACTGGACAGTTTGGAGCTAAAGCCCAGGATGCTTGTGCAAAGCAAAAGGCACAGATATGCCCTCCCACATACACTCCGGCTCCTGATCCACTCAGGTACTGGTACTATTGTAATTGTGAACTGCATTAGAGATGCATGTAGCCAAGAGTGGGCTGGTGGACCAGCTGCTGCTAGAGGATTTGGTGAGCAACAGTATAAAGGGCATCTGGCAATAAAAGGAGAAACAGTGTCTAATATAAAAATAGAGAGAGGCACTGTCAGAACAGCTCTAAAAAGGAGCCAGTCAAGCAAAATTGGGGCACACTGTTCTCTCTTAGACTTAAGGAGCTACATTGCACTGTGGCATGGTTCCAACCTGCTCTTCCTCACCTGTGGAAGGATGTCCAGGAGGATACTATGATGTGACCCTCAGTTTCAGGACATTTGCTCCCCCAATTTCTTCTTGAAATGTAGAAATTTTGTAATTTGGACATATGTCCAATCTATTAGTGCTGACAAGGAGGCATGTGTTTGGTTTTTTGTTGCCAAGACATGAAGACAGCCTGAACCCATCTAGGGTGTTTGCAGAGCTCACAGGCACTCATTGTGCGTCACAGGATGCCAAGAGCCCAGCAATGAGGTAAAAAAAGACCCCTGCCTGCAGCACCCCAGAGCATGGCCTATATGTGGGCTAAGGGCCATTAGCAGACACCTCTCTACTTATATATAATATCTGTGATGTTTACATGTGGCATGAATTTTTCTGGTTACAGAGGGGTAGGAAGACACAGGGGAGGAAAGGGGGCAGTTTAAAACTGGGTTAATCTTCACCAGAATATGTCCCTTTGAGCTTGGATTTTATAGCACACTGCCATTTCCCTGATGCCTCAAAATACAGCTGGATTTGTAAAGTTTCTTAGGATTCTCAAAGCCAGACTACAAATTATCCAAAAGCTATCTTCCAAAAGCTGCCATGAAAATAACAAGGCCAGGCCCCACCTGGTGGCACAATGGGTTAAATCACAGCACTGTGAAACTATTGCAGCCACTGCAGCATGAGTTTGATCCCTGGCCAGGCAGGTGACCTACATGGCGTGGCAGACCTCTCCTGACCTGCCTGCCACTCCCCTCAGCAGTGTATTTCAGTCAGTCTGCCTGTTCTGCTCCCCGTTCTGTCTATGGTGAATCTTCTCACCCCCACCCCATACCTCTGGCCTATACCCCAGTTCTGTAGAATAAATAAATAAATCTTTAAAAAGAAAATACAAGAAGGCCAGAGCAACGGAATGGGGAGATATCTTTTCATAATCTAATGAAGAACATGCTAAAGATGCTGGGATCCCCAGTATGATGGGGTGTGCAAGCACCACATAGGGAGGCCTCACATCATACAAGAATGTAACAAAAGTGAGGCATCTCCACGTACAGACATGATGACACTGTAGGTTTCCTGCCCCATGCACAGAACGTGATGGAGATGTGCACACAATTCATACTTTCGGGCAGGGTTTCTTAGCTCTCATGTCAAGGTCAAGGTGCCCTTGTCTCTTGGGTGGACAGACAAGGTGTAGGACAGCTGAACACCCCACACTGTCACCAGTAACTGTTACCTTATGTTCATTTATCTTATGTTCACATTCAAATCAAACCATGATAGGAAAGACTGGGAAGCGCTGCGGTAGAAAACACAGTGAAATGCCAACTTCCTCTTACTATGAAGGTGTGAACATCCCAAACCCACGTTGGACACCGTGAAACCCTCACCACCACAGATAAGGACTTGGTGAAGACACAGGTGCTACCACATACCGTGGAGAAGAACATGGTGAAGGCGTAGACGGCAGCTTCCAGCACATATCGGCTCCGAATGGCGAGGATCACAGGTGGCAAAAACATGAGGTTGCTCAGGCAGAGCAGGAGTGTGGACAGCAGCTGGAATCCATAGGTAAGCGCGTCTGCACTGTCAGTACAGCCCCAGCCCCGCCACCCTGTGGGTGTGAAGGACAGAGGGTGGCAAAGGACAAGGCAGCCCTGGGATCTGCACCCCTGCTCAGCACCTCTGCCCCGCCCAACACTCTGCTAGTGGATGTGAGGCTGCTGCCCCTTCCCGACTGCGCCAGCCAGCCCGCCGGGGAAGCTCCCTTGCCAGGTGGCCAGCTTACCAGCCTTGCACTCGCAGGCCGCATACAGGTAGTTGTGCGTGCGCAGCAGCTTGCACTGGCCATAGGGTCCACAGTCGTCCACACACGGAGACAGGAAGGTTCGCAGCCGCACCTCGGCTGTTACATTCCGGCAGCGCATAAACCTACGTGTGCGCACACAGTCTGGAGGTCACCTGGGGTCCAGCCAACTCCCTCCCCTCCAAGCCCTGCCCACTCCAAGTCGCTCACCGAGGCCCCACCCCACACAGGGAGCGGAGGGTCAGAAACCAGGTCCCTGTCTGTGGGAAAGGAATTCTTAGCCTGGCCACTCTGGAGGAGGCACTGACAGCGAGGAGGAAGCCAGCCAAGGATTCTGAGGGGAAAAGGGAGAGAGGTGTTGTGTGAAGACAGGAGCTAAAACCCTCATCCATCTACCCTAGAGACCCCAGGCCATCCTTCCTCCATACCATCCCCCACCGCCCATTCCTATCCCTACCTTTGGAGCAGGTCACTGCTGCGTCCCCCAGACTCAGGGGCACCTCATGAGTCAGGCATCCAAACACTGTCACGTTTTCCTGGCGCAGTGAGCTCTAGGGAAGCAGGTAAGAAGATGAGGCCATGGCGCCCTCCAGGCCCTTACACTCCCACTCCCTACACCTGTTAGCCCGGCCCCAGAAACCCTTCCAGCCCTCCTGCAGAGGGCTCACAGCAAAGCACCCCATCCCCAGCCATAGATGGCTGAAACACAATGACTAGAAAACACTAACTTTCACAGCAGAGAACTCCAGAGACCTATGAGAAGGCAAGATTCAAGTCCCAGTCCTTTTTTTGGGCAGAATTTATTTAAATTCTCTCCAGGCAAAAGAGAACACTGCGTTTTCAGCCCCTTTTAGGGTGAAGGTAAGGGGACAGGGACTATTGCAGGATGTAGAAACTAGATGGAAACAAGAGCAAGGCTGTCAGTCCTCCTCACATCTTAGCCAGGTCTGAGTGCAGGAGGCAGGTAAAGAAATGCACTCTCCCTCAGGCACTGAGCAACAGAACACCTGAAGGATTAAGTGTAGCAACCTTGCTGGGATTAAAACTAATATCCCATTTGTAAATATAAGGGGTTGTCCACATGAATAAAGATAAAAAGATGCCATAAATTCACCTTACTTTAAAGGATTTAGTAACATTAAATATGTGTGTGTGTGTGTATGTGTATAAGTAAACTTTTTTTACTTTTATAAGGGAACTTTAAAAAACCAAGATAGGAAATTAAAGCCTGGGCCATATATTTGATGTATATTAGATGTGGGCCATATATTTGATGCTTCCAAGTAACCAAGAAAGAAAACCTGATGAGATGCCAGACTTGTGCATACAGAAGAAGAAAGTTAAAGTCTCGGGGAGGTATGGCATCTAAAGGGGTGCTTCTCTGGGACATGCTCATCAAAGCCTCCTCCTGACCACACATCCTGGCCTCAACCATGAGTTTCATACAACTTGCTGATCCCTTCCCTCAGTGCAAGCCCTGGGCAAAATGCCAGCCATATTCAGTAAAAAGTGGAGGCAGTCAAAGAGAAAACTTCCTCTAGATAAGGCAGTTTTCTGATCCAAAGGGAAAAGTCAAAATATCTGTAGGGGAAGATCAAAGCAGCTATGTCAGCATACCTTTTAGAATAGCTGCAGGTATCTAAAGTGTGGGGAGACTGGCATCAAATGGCCATTAGAGTAAAAGGACAAGAACAAAGAGGGACAGAGTGAGATCCTCAGGGGCTGGGCCTCTGCCCTCAGGAAATGAGTAGGATGGAGCTAGTCTCTAATAGGGGCTCTACATTTCAAGGTTTCAAGGTTAAATCAGGCCTTGGTGTCACTGCCCCGGGCACAGCAATAAGCAAACACAAAATACATATAGTCTTAAAAAAGAGTCTACTTCAGGTTGAACAACCGGCCCTCACCTGACACCACTAGAAAGACCATAACAAATCACAAGCCAGGTCCCAACGTGGCTGTTAAGAAAATGGTCCCTGACCTCAGAGCTCCAGAGTAGAGTTAAAAGGATCCCTTGCTAGAGAAATAGTACATAAATTATTAGATCAATGCCAAACTAACACAGAGGCTAATGGCTGATAGCTCCTTCTTATTCATTGCTAAAAATAATGACTAAGACATACAAAGACTGACTTCAAGTGAGTGAATTACATAAAAGAGAGAAGGCCCAAGAGCCAAACCAGTATTAAGCAATGCCTCAAAGATGGACATAATTCTTCCATTCAGGTTAAAACGTTCTCATAAAGATTCAAGATGGTAACCAGCAGCAGTTCACGTGAACCAGACACAGGCCACGAAACCACAGATGCCCCTTGGTGACAACTAGACAAACAGCAGTTCACGTGGACAAGGACTCGGAAGACACATTGCTTTATGCCTTCCTCTATTTTCCAAAGCTTTTCCATGGGAATCTACTATGTTTATAATAAAACAAAAAATAAATGTACACAACTGTTTTGAAGATTAAAAAGGGAAGGAAAATGGCCCAAGATCTTAGCTCTCTACCGCCCCCTGTGACCCCGCAGTGATACAGCAACTAAGAAAAATAGGCTGCACTCAGGCTGTGCGCCTGCTGCACCCACATCTGACCAGATCGTTCATTTTAGAGCCATGAGGACCGACAGAAGTGCTCCCAGAGGGAGACAGTGGGGGCGAGAGAGGTCTGACAGTGAGGTGGCTCAGCTTGGGGGATGCTGCACAGCATCTAACGGGTTGCTGAATAGGATAAGGATGTTACAAATGTACCACACGATGCCAGAAGTTACTAATAAGGGAAACTGGTGAGGAAACAGGGTAATCGGTAAATTTCTGTCCTTTCCATTCAATTTTTCTTTAAGCCTAAAACGGATCTGAAAATCTATTAAAAAAAAAAGTAGAGTTAGATCTGATATAGAGAGTTAGATCTAGATATAGCTTCTAGATCCAGTAAATCTCAACAAAGATCAGTGGGTAAAATCTGTGAGTTTTGAGAGACAGCCAGGAATGCCTTTGACACTGAGAGTTGTCTAAACATGGACTGGATAATCTCAAGAGAAGTGCACGCCTGCCACAGAGGAAGGCCCTCAGTGAGGGGAGTTACCCCACAAAACGAGGGTAACCCAGACACTCCGCATTGCCTTGGATGACTGCGCCCATTCACAGTCCAGGGTTCAGGGCATGTTTCTTGACCAGAACTGAGCTGAGACATGGTCCCTAATCATGAAGTTGGAGGAATCCTGGAACAGTTAAGGATCCACCCACATCCCTGACACTTTATCCTTCAAATTCCCCATAGTGTCAGCAACCCCAAATACCCCAATTCACCAAAAAGTACCACATTGAGCTGGAGCTCCAGGCTGAGGACCCCTCCGCTATCCAGCACTGGCAGCAGCCTCAGAGCAAACACAGCCGGACGCTCAGGAGGGAGAGCCACACTGGGGCCAAAGAAGATGTAGAAGTGGACAGAGAAGGTGTCCAGCTCATTGCGCAGCGTCGGGCGCACTGGCCAGCAGTGTTCAGGTGGGGATGTGGCCCCAGGCCCCTCTGAAGGGGTCCCAAGGGATGGCGGCTCTGGAGGCAGTGGCTGATTGCCCAGTGACTGGGGCATGTTCATGGCAGCTCCAGGGACCAAGGCACGGGACAGGTTGGGTTGTGGGCACTCTGTGGAGCAAAGGAAATTAGAACAGGGCCTGCCATTCACCATCCTGCAGTCCCAACACAAACCAGTTCTGAGCCAGACAGAAAGGGAAGGGAGAGCTAAGAACTAGAGTCCCTTGGGAGTATGGAATATCACAGGAGAGAATCCAGAGGTCTCTAGTGGTCACTGCTAGTGGGCTGCTGTGAAAGAGGGGATCGAGGTCATCTCTTCCTCCCCAAAGACAATGAAGACACTGCTCAAACAGATGGCAGGCCCTCTCACTGATGCCACAGAGCACGGGCTTCAGCAAGGACAGTGCCACAGAGTAGGGAAGTCCCTCCATTAGCCCCAAACCAGGTGCAAAATGTTCCAAGAGAGTGTGAAGGAGCCCAAGTGGGTTCGGGAAATTGCAGGGACATGCAGAGGGGGTCAATGAACACAGCTGCCACACCTGCCTCTTTTATAGTTATCAGCCCGGCTGGGAGACTGGGGCAGGTAGAGCTTCTGACCTTGCAAGTGCACACACAGCTGGAAGCGGACGGTCCTGCCAGTGCCCCGGGATGGTGTCTCCACACGCACGTAGACCCAGTGTCCCCAGGGAGGCAGCGCCAACTCCAGCTGGCATAGCGAGGTACTTCCACAAGCCACAGAGCTTGAGTTGTGCAAGGGTGGGGCCTTGGGACGTAGGCGTAGTGTCAGGGGGCAGGAGGATGCTCCTCGGCCCCCCACACACACCAGCTGCGCTGAAACCCTGTAAGTAAAGCTGGGCACAAAGACCCTGGGCAGAAGAAGGTTGGGGGTAAGAAAAGACAGGGTACAGAGAGGTGAGAGGGACACCAAAATGAGAGAAACACTAGGAAGAAGACAGTGTAGTAAGTAGGGGACCCAGGAGGAGAGGAGCCTTTTGGGGTCTCCCCCTATGCTGAGAGGGAGGCAGGGGTCCGACCAGTACTGGGGTATCTAGGTGGCTTGGCCATTCAAGGTGGCCAGAGAGAACAGGAACAGCCAGGTAGGCTGAGGAACCCTGTTTCCTGTTAGAGGGCCAGGTTTGAGAGAGTATTTGACTTACTTGTACAAGGCTGAGCGATTGTGGGGGAACAGGGTTTGCTCTGAGGGACGGCCAGGCACCAGCACGGCAACATCCAGCAAACGCCGGACAATGAGCTGTGGCTGCAGTAGGTACTGACACTCATCCTGGAGACCCTGAGGCAAAAGTAAGGGTGGCGGGAGGGGAGACAGTAAGGGTGCTACTAAATCGGGGCACAGAGCCTGCTGAGGCTGGGGGACAAACCTCCCAGGGCTATGGCTCCTGGCCCTTTCTGCCAAGCAGGCATTTCCCATGGCCACCTCCGTCCTCCCTGGAGCTGCAGGTTCTGTTGTGAACCTCGGCACCAGTGAGGGTTTACGACTCATTCCCAGGCCCTCCAATCTGACTGCTCTTACTGAGCACTCCTGGACAGACCCTCAGAATAATTTCAAATACCTTTCCCCACCAGGAACTTAGCGCACTGGCTCTTTGGGGTTAGAAGATTTCTCAAGCATTTCCAGTCCAAAGCTCCACCCACCAATCCAAATCTTTCATTTCTTTTGTTCCCCACCCTGCCCCTTCCAAGTGCTGCCTAGTGTCTAATACCCATATCAAGGGCCACTCTTTACCTCTCTGGCAACCTCCAGACGATAACAACTTGTCCTATTCTATTTCTGTCTCCCCCCGTCACAGAGTGTACACTTGCAGATGTTTGCAGAATAAATGAATGACTGAATGAACCCAGTGGGGGCAGCTCTGATCTTTCAGAAGCCGAAGCCTGTCTTCTGACTCCCCTACCATTTGCATAGCCCCAGGAAGCCTATAAGTACACCTGCTCCCCTCCTCTGCCTCAGGCTGCGTTTCTTCTGTTACTGGAGAAGCTCTCTGAGCTGCTCTTCTGGACAAAGTCCCTAACCCCTTTCAACTCGGCAGACACCACCCTCAGAGCTTCATCTCTTTTCAGTTAGCACAGCCCACCTGTTCTGGTTCCTGGCCCAGCATTTGCAGCTACCTAAGTCCCCAAGACCTAGGAGGTAGGGGAAGGAGGAGATGCCTGATTAGATCTTCTGGACAAATGGCCTTATACTGGCACAACTACAGCCCACTGCTCATATACATGGTTATTCTGAACAAGACATACCTTTAAACCTAGCACTAGGGACCATTTTCAGGGCCTGGCATCCCAGTGAGTTCCATGCCATGGAGCAAATTAGCCAAATCAGTAACTTCCAGCATAGCTCCACAAGCCTAGGAGACCTCAATAGATGCCAGGCCAAAAATTTTTTACCACCTGCCTTTATCCCTTTTGCATCAGTGCATCCCCAACACCCAGCACACCACCTGGCAAATATTAGGTGCTTAGGAAAGTATCTGTGAGTTAAGTGTCAAATGTCAAGAAGAGGGTCCCTTCAGAGAACTTCCAAACCCACCTCATTGCTCAGAGACCTCCATCTCTGCTATCCCTAACAGATAACCCTCATCTTTGTGTCAACCCCTGAGGATCAGAAGTCCTATCACAAGGCATTTCATCAACCCCACTTCCTAATCAATCATCACCACTGCAATCATCTTGTGATAAATGAGCCCCAAGGGGCTCACACTCAGGAGGCTGATTCCCCAACTAGCCAGTTCAGCCAGAATAAACACCTTGCTTGATGCTTTGCTTGCTACTGGCTTAAGTGAAGGATCAATGGACATACCTTCTGATTAAGATGTGCTTCTTCCCTCAAAGCATATAATGTGCACATCCAATAGCTCTTCCTTCTTGTGGTGGTGAAAATTCAGTCAATGGAGACAAGAAAGGTTCGGGGGGATCAGAGAAAGGACACCTGAAGTCAGGTGCTCAAGAGCTACCAGGGCAGAAACCAAGTGAAAGTCTAACTGAGTCAACATCAGCTATCAAGGAAACAACAGAGTCAAAGTCAGGAAGCTTAAGGAACCAGCAAGGCCAAAGTATAAAGTGAAGAGACAGAAAGACCAGGGAGTGGAAAACCATAGACTAGTCCCTAGACTTCCCTAGGACAGGTGGGCTGGAAAGGCCTTTAGAAAGGCCTGAGTAGGGTGGCCAGTGTCAGGCTCTGGATGGGGCTTGCAGATTGAAGATACCCAAAGATGTTTGGCCTTCTCTGTGAGAATATCCCAGAACCAAGCACAGCCCTCAGCCCAGAGTCAGTCAACGCCAAACAACATAGAAGTAAATGATTGCTGGACAGACTGCGGGAGCAGGGTTGAAGCAGAAAGACCAATTAGGATGTTATTGGTTACTGCAAGGACCTAGAAGCAAGCTCCAGAGAGGTACACAGAGTAAAAAGAGACAGCATGCTTCAGAGAACGCTGTACAAGTAAAGTCAACAAGGCTTTTCCTTTATGGATTGAAGGGAAATAAGGAGAATCAAGGATGACACCCAATTTTGGGACTCACACAAATGGTGGATGGCAAAGACACTTATTAAGAAGGAAAAAGCCTGGAGTAGGAATCAGAGGTTTGTAACTTTTGGCTTTGTTTTGAGTTGTATATGCTAATTTTGAGACATTTCTTAGACATCCAGTTGGGAGATGTAAGCAATTGGACATACGATCTGAAATCAAAGAAATTAGGACTTGAAAAAACACCAAAGAGGCATTAATTTATAGATGGTATTTAAAATCATTGTGTGGAGAACAAGAGAAAGGAGAATTAAAAAGAAGTTGTCCCAGGACCAAGCATTGGGGCATATGGTTAAGGATCAAGTAGAAGAGAAGCCAGCCACGGACATGAGAAGGAATGGAAAAGGGAAAGAGGAAAGCCAGGGCAGTGTGCAAAGTTAAAGAGCACGAGAAAAAGGTGTTTCAAGGAAAGAGTAATCTAAAGCACTAATTAACAACCAGGTATTAGTTAACTCTGGGTAAAGGAAGTGGGGACTGGAAGGAAACTTACTTCTCACTGTCTTTTGTACCTTTTGAATGTTGTACCACAGGCATATATTACCTATTCAAAAATATTAACAAAATAATTTAGGAGGAGGAAGAACTGAAGGAGCAGTACTAGCAGATTTTAACCACTTCATTTGAGACTTGAGCCATGCTAGATCCTAATTGATAGACTCAACCAAGTCCTTTCTTCTATAAAATCTTCATTCCTTTCCTTGTTTTCATGATTTTACCTCCTTCCACCTACTTCAAAATCTTGAAGTTACTTCAAAATCTTGAAGTTAGGAAGAAAGCACTTGAGAACTGTATTCCAGACACCTGAAGCATTTCCCCTAACAAGCCACTGGATACCAGAAATTATCCACACCCCAAAGGCCCGCTCCTCATGGCGGACAGGAAGCCAGACACCACAGGGGGCACATGGGCCCCAGGACAGGAAGGTAGGGAGGGTAAGGGCAGCGGTCAAGATGGACAAGGTTGGTAAGAATGGTCAGCAAGGAAAGGAAGAGAAATAAGATCAATTTTGGAATATAGGTTTGAGAAGATGGCAGAATGGTAAAAAATGTGCCACGCCTCCACTGCGTGCAGGTTCTGTGCAGGTGCAGGGAATGTCGCAGTGAACAGCACAGCCACAGAGGCTAGCAGACGTGCAGGACTACAGCTCAGGGGTGGCCTGACCTGGCAAGTCCCTTCCCTTTCTAGCCTCTCAAGTTTCTGTATCTCTCAGAATAAAGTTCAAACTTCTAGGCCCTTCATGACCTGGCTTCTTCTCACCCCTATCCTAGCCAAGTTTTCCTCAGCCACTGCAAAAACCACCCCACACTGATCTACTCCAGCTCCCCCTCTACACTTTGGCCCATGCTAACCTAGAATGCCTTTCTTTGCCTTCTCAAAACTAGGCCTCACTTCCGAAGTTTCCTAAACATCTCTACCACATTACCAAGCTGAGTTAGCCATTTCTATTTGTCCTGTTAAAACATCTCCTGTGCATCAACAATAAACATCTTATTTGTGTCCCTAGCACCTAAACCAAGGTCAGAGACAAAGTGGGTGCTGAAGGACTAAGATCTTAAAAGGAAGTCTAAGCTCATCCCCCAAAACTAAACAGCCCTAGAAACAGTACCACCATTCTTATCTCTAGGACTCTTCAGTTTCCACCCTCAGGAACCACATTAACTTCCTGTGTTAGCCAAGTCCTCACAGGAAGTCACAATCTTGCAACAGGAAGGAAGTAAATCAAGAAGATACAGTGTCCTACAAGAAGGTACAAGAAAATTCACCTACAGACTTGAATCTGTGAAATTTACCAAAGAACTTAAGAATTTTTGGATGCCCAGATAAAATACTAAAAGATAACCAAATTCTCAGACTACAAAGAAGGTACCTGCTCCCTCACCCCCCACTCCAGAAAAGACCTGACAACAAGGTCTCTCTCTCACGGTGTCCAGGTCAGTGGCCACTCACAGGCAAGGTGTAACTGAGTTCTCATGTCACACCTCACAACACCCCTGGGAACTCTGCTGATGAGCACTCCAGCTCCCAGCCCCACTTGCTATATCCAGATGCAAATGAGCATGTCAAGCCTGGCCTCTCCTTGTCAGGCTCCCACAATCCCAGTCAAGGCCTCAGCCCACAGTTTCTCCTGTTCACCCACAAAGGTTTTCTGGATAACTAGGCCAGCACTTGAGAAGAATTTTCCCTGTCAGTTCTCACAAAAAGCCAAGGATCAGAATTGGGATCAGCAACAAGGTTTTTGGGGTTTGGCGGAAAGTCTAAGAAGACATTCCTCCCAATAAAAGAACCCTGAGTTCTGATGGAAGTCAACACTGATATAGAGCCCAGAGCCATGCCCAGACAAGCTCCCAACATACACTTATCCAGAGAACTCCCAGGTCTTGACAGGAAATTCTCTTGCACCACTCCCAGGGAAAACAGACTATCACTGAGGCCTTAAGATGCTACCTTGGCCCTGATTCACCTGACAACTGCACAGCCAGTACGCTTGTTCCTAGATTCTCAATTCAACTGAGTTCATTATTAGCATTTGTTTGAAAGCTGAGTTATATTATGAAGAGGAGAAATGAGTGTGACTGAGTCACAGACCCCCTGCCCTCAAAGAACTCAGCCTAGAGAGATGTAAATGGGCAAATCTTCACATGATCAAAATTTCTACCCCTCCTAATTCTCAATGGCCAAATTCAACTAGTCATTTTGCTTTTCAATGTCTTTACTTCTTCACTCTGTTCATGCTCGCCCGGTCACCATTATCACTAGCCATCCTACTAACAATGGTCAGTTTATCAATACCCCCCTTCCCACTGATGGACCCAACTAAGAAACCTCTAGATCCTCTCACTATAAAGAAGAAATCTGGCCTGTACAACACTTGGGAGTGAAAGAGAAACATGGTATTGCCGTTGCCTCCAAACCAGAAATGGAGAATTATCCTGAACTTCCTTTAGACTTTAACCCCTCTGCTCCATGGATATCAGTGCTAACATTTGGAGGACAAGGAGACAATGATCAGGATGGACACCAGCTGCCCAAAGTCCATTTTTTAGAGGGTCTCCCTGCCTCAGTGTCTCTCCTATGCACTCCATGGGGTGGAAGGAACTAAAATTATGAGAGAAATGCATTCCCCCAGATAGACAAACTGGCTCACAGCCTAGGAGAATCTGTGGGGCTACCACAAATCAAAATATAGCACAAGACCATTCCTGGTTTTGTATAGCAGCATCAGATCAGTCCCTGGCTGATTTCTGATCATCTTAACCCTTGCAGCAATAAAGGACACTACTTAGAATGTCAGGGCTCTGACTGATTCTGAACTCTTGATTTTCCCTTCTGCTTACCTGAATCCACTATGTCCTCTTAAGGATCCCAAATTGCCTCCTACAGGTCATGACTTCTGGCCCTACTATGTAACCTGCTGACCTCGGGTTATGCCTCACCCCAGCCACCCTCATGCTACTTCCCACTCTGGCACAAGGCCAGTAACCCAAGGGGGAAACTCAGCAGAGACAAACAGTTCTTGCCCCTCCTCCCTGGGGAGCATCAACCCACCTTGACAGAGATGTGGCCGTGGGCCTGGGGAAGGTGGGCAGCCAAAAACCAGTCCCCGGGTAAGGGGCTGCTGACGTTAAAGATGCCTGAGGTGCGGTTAGGCAAGGTCCAGCTGAGGGTCAGTGAGAAAACCCCAGGCACAGCCGTGTCCCCTGGAAAGTGTGTGTGCAGGGGATTGATGACAGGGGGTGCCCCAGACCGGAAATACCTGGGGAACCAGAATGAGGAAAGAAGAAATGCAGATAATGGAGTAGGAAACAAGAAACAGGGACAAGAATGTAGAACTGTCACTCATAACACTAAAATAAATGGATTCCCTATACAGACACAAACAACAAAGTGGTTCCAGATCAGGGGTCAGGGACATGAGGTAAAAGGTCAGTTCAGGCATTCACACAGTCAAACAACAGTTAAGAAATGAACAAGAGACAAGATCCTGACCCTCATTCAATCACACATCAATCTGGACAAGGGTTAGGATGTCAGTTTAGATACTCATCAAGTCACTCTGGTTATGGAAGAGAGTCCAGGATTTAAGTGGGCGTCAGGAGGTTAACTCAGGCACTCACACAGTCACACTTTGGTCTGGGCAGTGGTCCCCAAAGGTTCCCCCCTGCTCCTTGAAGATGATGAGGTTCCAAACAGCCAGGAATGTGTCCTCAGGAACATGGAAGTGGAAGAGTTCAGTGCTGGCAAAGGAGCGGAAAGGACTCAGCTTGCGGGGCGAGCAGGTGGAGTAGTCAGTCAGGAAGAGGCCTCCTGGAGAGCAGGTAAAAGAAAAAGGAGCAGGTAAGACAGAGGGCATTTCCATTAATCAGGAGGCACCCCGGTCTTCCTCACCATGTGTTGAGCACTATCTCAACAAATGCTCTCCTCTGAACCAAGAATTGTATGTTATGCTGCTCTAGCCATTACCTGCTTTTTTTGGGAAAAAATTATCCCTTTTAAAACTAAGGAAACTGAGGCTGAAATCTAGACTAAACTGAGGAGTCAAGCCAAGATCTACCTAAATCCAAACCAGAACCGTTTATATCTCACATCTGCTCCTCACTTAGAAGCTCTGAAAGACTAACAAAACAGAAGGTGTGTGTGTGTGTGCGTGTGTGCATGTGTGTGTGTGTGTTGGCATAGGCTCTCAGGCCACTGAGCAGGCTGGAACTCCACCTGTGGGGCTTGGGAGTCAGCATGGAACTGTGTAACTTTCTTGTTCATTTCTCCCCCTTTCTGTTCCCCTGTGGTCAGGAGCAGTAAAAACCTCAGAAGCGTCACAAGAGCTGTCTGTCCACTGCGTCAGGAGGATGGGTGGGAAGGCCGCAAGGGTCCTGTTCGGGTGGCAAAGGCAAGGACAGAAGCTGGCGGGGCACCATGAGTCACCAGAAGAGGAGGGCAGGAAAGTCATCAGGCCCTCTGGGATTGAGCAGCAGCCACAGGGGGGTGTTTCCCCATGGGAGGCCCAGTGAGGCAGTCAATTAGTAACCTGCTGGAATCTCAAACCACTTGAGAATATTCATATTTGGAGAAGGATGGGGTGGGAGGTGAAGAGGAAGTGGTCATCTCTAGCTAAAAAGTTGTTAAAAGCAGTGTCAAGCTGAGCAGGAGAGCCCGTCAGCATTGGAACAATGAAAAACAACCCGCAGTTCAGCTGGAAAGAAAAGTACCCCAAATGGCAGACAACCGGTGCCAGAAAGATGCCCCTAGAACAGGAAGGAAAGCAAAAAAGTTGTAAAAGTCAGTGGCTTCAGGACAGAATAGGGTGGGAGAGGTAAGGGAGACCTTAGAACAGTGCTCTCCGCCAGACAGAAAATACGCACAGGGCTTACATAGTCTAACAATCTCCCTCATTAAGGTTGGCCCCGCTGAACTGCAGCAACCTCAGGAGTCATACTCTCAAGAGCTACCTAAGTAGGTGGGGGCCATTGTCCCTGAACTGATCTGTGCTCACCTTCAAAGGTGCTGTTTGTTCACCTCCAAGGACTGTCAGGAGGGAAGACTTGCCTCCTTGCAAGCTGAGCAGTGCCCAGGATCCAGGGTGCCTTATGAAGCAACAGTCATAGGGTGTTGATGTATACAAGAGAGATAAAGGGAAATGAACCAATTGATAAGGCAAACAGGTTTCCTAGGAGCCCTGGATGTCACAACTGGGAGGCAGAATGGCAAGAGCTGAGTAGCCTGTCTACCACTGTCCCAAGAAAGCAGAGCTCTGGAGCACTGGGCTTCTCCTCCAAAGAGCTGGTACCATCAGCTGGGCCACTGCTAGTGTTAGAAGAAATGTTGACCAGGCCCCCAAGCAGACCTTCAGACAGCTGGTGGTAAAAAGCAGCTAATGACCTTTGGGGAGCAACAAGAGAAGCACCAAATAACAGAGCATGGCCTAGAGAACTGGGGAAATAATTAAGCCAGTTGGGAGACTTGTAATGAGGTGGACTAAGTGCACCAAGTAGACCTTACTACAGGCAGGACTTTCCTTCGTACGACATGTTAATAGCAGGTAGCCAGGACTAGAAGTCACAGAATAGGCCGGTGCGAAAAGGGAGTAATAAGCCGCATTGGGAACGCTAGGAGGAACCTAGAAGTTCTAAGGGAAGATGCTTAAGCTAGCATCCACAGTCCCATTCAGCCTTAGTCTGGGGTTATCGGCAGGGCCTACAGGGCTGTGTCCCAGAGGAAGCATGAGTAGGGCCCTAGACAAAATCAGATAAACCTGTTCTACATGTTCTGGTACTTCCAGATGAAATTAGAGTGATTCTCTATCACGAGCAAACACACACACACACACAGAAGCTGTTCTCGTTAGTGACAGTATTGGGTAAAACAAAAGGTCATTTCCTCAAATGACAAAACATGCCTGGGTTATGCAACTGTAGATCAGATAACTCAAAGGAAAAGACCTGAGGATTGGAGTTGGACCAGGAAATCCAGACAGTACTTTCCATTACTTAAATGAGATTTAAGCCGACAATAAACATGTATTGAGACTGTACTAACGATCATGTGACTACAGCCTCTCCTTAGGTAAAACCAATGTCTGCACTAGGTCACAGAAGTCCCCTGCACACCAGGCACAGTTGCAGTCCTGACTGCAGTAAGGTCTACTTGGTCCTCTAAGCCCACCTCATTGCAATTCCCCCAAAGCATTTAAACCAGTTTCCAGCAATCATGCTTTAATCCACATCTTCCTATAGTTCTGTGACTGGTAGTCACCCACCTCCCCTAATCAGCTCAGAACTTGTTCAGTGGAGTCATGAATAGAGAAACCATGATGGCAGGATGAGTTTGGGCATCCCTCACCAAAACTGAAAAACTGGCCTGGCTACTGTCTCTGCTGGTTACCCAATTTGCCAGCAGCAATAATCAACACATTCAAGGAGTCAAGATGTGGGCAGATGGATTACTTATGTTGGGGGAGGCACCCATCACTGCCTCCAACAAGGACTTAGTCATTTGGAAAGTGACATGTCAATGATCTTTCTGCAGGAGAAGAAGGAAGAGCTAAAGTGGAACATGCATGAGCCAGAACAGGTATCTTCCCCCTCCCACAATAACAGAGACACTCAGAGGCTCACCTACACCACACACAACATACATGTGCCTACACATACCAATGTACAAACAGGTACATACAGTGCAAATGCCCAGCATTCCCACAGAGCTCTCAGTTATACACACAAACACTTAAGTAAGCACCCAGATACCAGTGAGTACACACATAGAGCTTGGGTATCTCTGCAGGGGAGGTAAACTTTGGCATTTATTGATCTCCTCAAGATTGTATGTGGGCTCCCACCCCCAGATGCTGTTAGCTAGTATCTTACATTACCACTACCAGAGGTAGCCAGAAGCTGACATCACAAAGACCTCATTATGATGTGGTGCATTCCCAACATATCCTATCCATTAAGAAATTGGACCTCTGCCTCTACTATCCAAGTCACTTCTGGATGATGGTCCCAGGTTAGATTGACAACTAGCAAATGAGGAACAGTTTGTGATGACGCCCCCTTGTGGGCAGAGCGGGGAAGATGTGTTTTGAGCCTTTCCCCACTGCAGTGAAAACAAAAACAACTCCAATATTGGCATTTATAGCCCCCAGCACTGCCATTTAAATGACAACTTGCTTCCTTTACTGAGCCTCAGTTGCCAATCTGCAAAATGGCCTCTGCAACCTTGCTCTAAAAGTGTCAGAATTATTCCTAGTCAAATCAAGCTTGGTTGGAACAAGACAAATTATAAGAAGAAAATTCCTAATGGCAACCAACCCATGACCATCTGCTACCACATCCTGTTTGCTACATGTTACTTTCAAAATGCTTTATTAACCCTGCTTTAGTGCATGCCCAATTATCTAAAAGGTTTAGATCTCCTACATTAGACTAAAGGCACTCTGGCGTGGAACTATGTCTTTCCCCATCAAGCTTTGTGAGCGGGAGAAAAGCTTTCAAGACTTCCCTAGAAAAGCAAGTGGTCAACCTGGGGACTACATCAGGATAGACTCCAGGAAAGAAACCCTGTGGGTCTATCCTAGGGGCTACTGGCCACCTGCAAGTGTTAAGCCAACCCTCCCAATTCCTCACAGCTGTATAAGACCTTTTTCCTCCCTATTTCTCCCCACTTCCTCCCCAATGATCTAGTCACCCAGGTCTTACCTGTCTTAAATCCCTCCAGTCCATCCCTCCCTGCCAGAACCCCATCCCTGCCTGCCTCAATCTTTCCTGCTTCTGCACTCACCAGCCCCTGGGCCAAGCACAGAGAACAGCAACAGCAGCAATAGGGCTGGTGGCAGCTGGAGCCCAGACCTGAGTCGAGGCTGGGAGAGGGGCAGGGTATGAGAGACAGTGGGGAGTAGTGGGAGAGATTTGGGTAAACACAGAGATGAGGGCAAATGCTGAGTTAATGGGTTGGGTAGGGCTAGGCACTGGGGCTTATGCAAAGGCAGGGAATGGGGAGGAAGGAAGGGCTGTGGTGGGGACTGGAGCAAGGGCAGGGGTTGGGCCCTGGGCTTTAGCAAATACTGGGAATGGGGCTGGGATAAGGGCTGGGCTGGGAATTGTGACAGGAGGTGAAACAAGCGCAGGGGCCACTCAGGGGACTGGGACTGGATGGGGGGCCTAGGTTGGGACCGGGATCTGGGCATTCGCTGGGACCTAGCCTTGGGCCGGGACCGATGTGGGAAGCGGGCTGACGGCGGGGCCGGGGGCCAAGGTCCGGATCGGGATAGGACAAGGGGCCGGGACAAGGGCTGGGCCATGGCCCGGGGCGGGGGCGGGGCCGGACCAGGCCAGCGCGGGGCGCTCGCAGAGCTGACCCGCGGCTCCGCTCCCCACCCCCAGGGGGTGGCCTCCAGTGTCCTCGCGGATCCGGGTCCGGGGTTGGGCCTGCAGGTGCCGGGCCGGGGACCTGGGTAGGAGTTCAGGCCTGTGCGACTCCGGGATGCGCTGGACCGGCTATAACCAGGCCCGGCGGCGGCGGCCTCTGCTGACGTCAGCATGACGCTCCGCCCTCCAGTCAGGTCTATTGGTCCTTTTTAGCAAAGCCCGCCTCCGACCCCATTCTATTGGCTTCTAATTTTGGTCCTGCCGGACGGAGGATGGATTCCGCCCCAGACACCTGGCCACCAGCCTTTCTCGCCCCAACAACAAAGTCCAGACGCTGAGCTCAGATCCTCATGTCCCCCGAATGACTAGCCCCCACAGACATCCCGATAGAACGCACAAACCCAGACACCCACGGACGTCCCCACTGATATTTCCAGACACTACCCAGAAACACTCACAGAGACCACGCAAGACCCCTTAAAAGAAATGAGCCCTTCAGGTTCGGTACCTTCGGATACAGCGCAGCCCCTACAGGAGACCTCACCCACAGGGGAAGTGACCAGACTGCAGTTACCACGGAGACTACAAGACATTCCGGTTGCCCTGGTGACGGAGGCCTCTTCTACCTGCCAGCGTTCCAGACGCTTCAGTCAAGCCCCTCCCTCATCCATCCCGACCCCTTGTCCCTCCTCGTCTAGCCTTTCCCCAACCTAGCCACAGCTCCTTTGTGAATTTCTGCAGGTGTCAAAATCGTAGACTTGCAGGCACGACCTGTCTCCATACAGTCTATGTAGCCGGAGCTAGCTCATTCAAAACCTAGAGCCTTCCCTCCCTGTGGCTAACATTTCCCCCTTCCCAACCTTCCAGCTTCAGACAGGATCCTTACCTAACAACTTGTAACAACCAAGCCAAAGCCTAGAGGTATGTAGTTTCACCAATATCCCCTCCTCTTAAATACTCATCTAACGCCTTCTGTGTCCTTCCTACCTCTCAGTCCAACCCCCTCCCATTCTCGACTTTCCAGCTGTACTCCCCACTTCCATCCCATTTCCACACCATTTCCCTCCTGCCATGCTGATTCTCCACCCTCAGGTCCCTTTTCCCTTTTCCATCTAATCATCTTCCTCCCCTGCCATCATCATACCTCTCCCCCTAATTCCTTCTCAAATTCCCTCTTTCCTGATGAGTTTAAATGAAACATTTTATCTCTCTGGAAGAGGTGTGGGGAGATTGTTGCGGTTGTGTGGAAGAGTAGAGAACAAGTTAGGGCAGCAGTCCTTAAGGCCCAAGTCCTTAGGTAGTGTTAAAAATGATGACAGGCCAAGAAATTTATACTTCAGGCTGAGTCACTATTTTTAAGCAAGAGAATGCCATTGTTTGGTTTGCATTTCAGAAAGATCTCAGTGTGGCTTCTTTTGGACATACTTCCAAGATAAAGTAGGCACACCTTGTTCTCCACACATTCTGGGTTTACCGCTAGGGCAACACCAACTCATTTGCACTGTCATTTTGTTACAGGGTAGCCCAGAGTGGACTTGGGCTGCCTTTCTGTGGGGCCTCACCTGCAGGCTCAAAATGTAATTTTCTGCAGGCACACACAAAAAGGGTAATGGGAAAGGAAAAGGAACCAACCAGGGAAAGAGAGAGGAATACAAAGTAATTGGAATACTTTACCAGCTCAGCTAACTTAAAGCTCTTCAGTCACAGACTAACACTGCTAGCCCCCAGTCACACAGTCTGAGAGCAGTTACTCCAGAGAGAGAGAACAGTTACCTCTCCAGAATGAGTTAGGAAACCACTCCCTATTTATCCCCCAAAGTCCCAGAAGGGAGTTAGCTCCGCCCTTAGGTTCTCTCAGTTCTCTGCTTGGTGCTGCTGGGAATTGTAGTTTTCCAATCACTGGCGTATGGGGTAGAATCCAGAAAGCTGGAGTAGGGCTGGAGTCCACCAAACTCTACAGAGTTCTTTTAGGACATCTTTCCCCTTAACAATTTTAGTTAACTTTTCTCCTTCCCAGATGCTTTTAACTGAGTCTGGCGTTTAGCACATGCCCAAATAAAAATGTAAGATTAGGCTCTTAGTAAAAGATTAAGTTACATAAATCAACAAAAGAATAGGTTAGTGAATTAATATGCTGGGGAAAGCAGCAAAGGGACAGTGTTATTATATAATCCAGGCACAGGATGATGAAAAGTTTAATGAATTTGGAGGAAAAGGAGAGGAGAGAATGGATAATGGGAATATTTAGATGATAAGCAATACAGTCCTTCATGCCCAATTAAATGGAAATTAGGATAACTTCCAGAGTTCAGTTTTAATGCCCTTTAGGAACTCCATTTAGTAATGTTTAGCATGCACTTGGGTTTGAGTGCAAGGTATAGGGGGCTAAAGCAGTCTGAGGTAGAAATATGGATTTAGGAGTCATCAGCATACAACTGGAAGCTGACATTTTGAACATGAAGGACATCTTCAAGGGAGCGTTTGTGAGGTCCTTACACAAAACTAGACTGTGGTAGTCAGGGCCCTGTGTAACGTACACTAGCATCTTCCTGCACTTTTGGGAGCATGCCCCCACTTTGGCTTGACATGCTGTCTCTAGAACTCCACACCTGACCTCCATTGTCCTAAGGTATGCCCAGGTCCTACACCTGAACTCACCAAGTTGCTGCACAGTCTCCTGTCTGGGATATAGCCCTCTGCTACCATCTACTGACGGGACTCTCACTGCTTCAGACTAAGTGCCAGCTCCTTCACAACCCACAGTAGCATGCCACATGGGGTCTGAGCACATGGGTGAACCTCCTAGCACTGTACCCTGACCCAGAGTTCATCTGTGTCCCCCTTCCATCTCAGGTACACGAATATCCTTATCCAAATTCCATAACCCCCTGTGAACCTCAATTTATAGAGCCTTTAATTCCAACCTAATAAAACTGTACCCTATTCTACCACTAGATGGAAGCAGACCAGGTCACAGAAAAGCCTCATTCCACCGTGGATGCTCCGGAGCTCACCTCTTCAAAGGACCCCTCTGCTGAGGACTTTCAGGATCTCTCCACCTCTGCAGCCATCTTAGAGTCTTCCATTCCTGAGGCCCCTTTAGTAGCCCTTATCTCTGAATCTCATTTGGTGCCATCACCCTCTCCCCTGACACCTTTAGAGATCCACCCCTCTGCAGCCATCTTAGAATCTTCCATCTCTGAGACACCTTTAGAGGCCCTTACTTCTGAATATAATGTGATGCCATCCTCTTCCCTCACACCGCTAGAGACCCACCCCTCTGAAGCAATCTTGGAGTCTACCACTGCTGAGACCCCGTTAGAGGCTCTTACCTCTGAGTTTTACCCGGTGCTATCATCCCCTCCTCAGATATCTTTGGAGATCCACCCCTCTGAGGCCATCTTGGAGTCTTCTGTCTCTCAGACCCCCTTAGAGGCTCTTACTTCTGAGTTTTACCCAGTGCCATCATCCCCTCCCCAGATACCTTTGGAGGTCCACCCCTCTGAGGCCATCTTGGAGACTTCTGTCTCTGAGACTCCCTTAGAGGCTCATACTTCTGAATTTCATACGGTGCCATCATCCTCTTCAGAAAAGCTGTTAGGGATCCACCCAGCTACATCCCCCTTAGAGCCTTCCAAACACCCTTCAGAGCATTCTACCTCTGAGTTTCCTCTGGAGACTCACATCCCTCAGGTTCCAGAGGAAAACTTTATTATTCAAGCCTCAGCACAAAGCCATTCCTCTGTACCTTCTTCTAATTATCGGAAAGAAGACTTTGTATCTCCATCTTCCTCCAGTGAGGTCCCAGGGACCAGGAGGGACTTCCAGATCTCTGATGATGAGGCTCCTCAACAACACACCATTTCAGGTTCTTCAGCCCAGATTCAGCTGGATGCATCTGCAGAGCAGAGAGAAGAGGAGAAAGAGGATGAGAAGGGAATAGATGTCACTGACAGCACTGCTCAGCCTGAACGCCAACTGGGCAAGAAGAAGGGGAAGAAAGGAGTTAGCAGTAATTGTGCCTATCCTTTCTCCCCATTCTTAACAATGTCTTTGACCTGCCCCAGAAGGAGGGATGGGATTACTCACTCACTGGTTCTCCTCTTAGTTTTAGGGCCTCCTTGCTTCCCCTTGGTTACTCAGCCCCTCTCCCCAGGTTACCCAGCCCAGCCAGTGGTCCCTGCCACACAGGGAGAGCTGGTAGAAGTGGCTAAGGCAATGCCCAGAGAGAAGTTTGGTGCTCAGGTGCAATACCGTTTCCAGTGGGAGAAGAACACAGCCCTGTGTGCTATCCAGACAGGTGAGCCCAGACAGCCTTTCAGAGGCCTGTGGCAGGCCTATAGCCATCCTCCAATCCAACAGGATCTGCGGATTGCTGCCACCATGGAAGAGGAAATGCTACCTAATTTTATCTGGCAGGGAAGTAGGCAGGTAGGCTGGGGTAGATGGTGTGGATCCAGACAAAAAGTGAGGATAGTCATTGAAACCTAGACAGGCAACTGACTAAAAGATGCTAAAAACAGAAGGGCAACAGGCCAGCCCCAAATCTAGTACACAGATAGCTTGCGCCAAACAGACCATAAGGCAGAGATGGCCTAAGACCCTAGACACTTACCAAGAGACTTGATCTGAGATTGCAAAAGGCCTTTTCCCCTTGGTGGAAGGTTGCCATGTCAGACCATGATCACCTGAGCATGCAAGTTTTGAGTCTTCTCACCAAAGAGAGCCACATTTGCCAAATTTTAGCCCAGAAACAGTCCTGTTAGGAACAGAGCATGTGTATCTGTTTATAAAGGATGTGCCTATGAATTGTGTAAACACACCCATTATGTGTGTGAGTACATCTACCTACCTGCATTACTGATACATCCTGATCTGCTGTGAAGATGCTGGAGTTTCTAAACTAAATTTAATAGATGTTACTGCATTTGCATTGGTCTTTCAAACTTCCTTTCTCTTTACGATGGGAAAAGAGTTGTATTTAAACTAGTGGGCCAAAGATACACAGTCATTCAGGTAATTCCATTCCTTGTCCTCCTCCCATGTAATTTACTTTCCTCACTCTCATGTAGGGACCCTCCCCTACCCATCCTTGGTCAAGTCCTAATGATCTTAATTCTCAGTCTAAATTCAGGCAGGAAATGGCTTTGCCTACTTATTTTAACATCTTCTGTCACTCTTATTCTTGCAATTGTAGGAGCTGATCAGTTCCCTCATTCTCATTCTCCTCAGAACCTCTATTCTTCAAAACTACTGCATTTCTTCAGACTGAACTTCATCTTCCTATTGAAACAAGCAGTCTTATACAGAAATTTAAATGTCATTTAATTCTAGACAAAGATATTGTGGATTATGACTCCCTGGAGAGTCAGGACTCCATTAACAGTATATGTGATCTGTAGAGAAATATAAGGTATAAATTTTTCCTTTGTTCATTCAACATTTGCTGAGCATCAACAATGTGCTAGGTGTTGAGCTAGCTCTGCTGGTGGTGGTGCTGGTGAGGGTTTCAATGACAAAATCTCAATTTGCACTCTAGTGCAAGACACCACTAAGTAAAAGGATAATTACAATTCATTCTAATACTTGCTATGATGGGGTCAGACCAGGGTGCTGAGAAAAGGGGCAACCTATATCGGTGGCTTGGGGATAAGCCTAGGAAAGAATGACTTTTCAATTGAAATCTGTAAGCTATGTAAGGGGTGCAGGGAAAGACATGACAGCACCAGTCACTTGCTGCACAGATTTTGGGCCGAGTAGCCTAGCTCAGCACTAGAAAGACACAGAATTTGGCAGGCATTTCTGTGCCAAGTTCAAGAGTCGGGATTATATCTGATGGTAACTGAGAGTCACTAAAATATTTTAAATGAAGCAATAACACAAACTGGTTTTGAAAGATCACTTTGTGATGATCAGATAGACTAAAGAAAACAAGGCTGAAGATGGGAGGCCACACTGTGGCACTGGTACTAATTCAGGTAAAAAGTGGATTGGTGGAGAGTTATATACCTGGGAAATGCTGATAGGTCAAACTGACCATTGGAACACTGAATGTGCAGGAAATGACCCCCAGGATTTTGGTTTTCCTAACTGGTTGGATGATAGTGATGCCTGAAACAGAGGATGCTTGGTAAGTCTATGTTGGATGAGTAGAAAACAAAGAATGAGTGTCAAATTTGGAAGGAATAGTTGGATATAACACGTTTGAGGTTTTATGGAATACTCTGGTAAGGGAGTCTAGTGGACAACTAACTGGTTTAAAGGCGTCTGGTAAGTCTATGTTGGATGAGTAGAAAACAAAGGATGAGTGTCAAATTTGGAAGGAATAGTTGGATATAACACGTTTGAGGTTTTATGGAATACTCTGGTAAGGGAGTCTAGTGGACAACTAACTGGTTTAAAGGCGTCTGGAGTCCAGGAAAGAAGTCAGAGACATTCCTTATGTAAAAACAGCTATGTATTATATAGAGGCATTCTAACTGTAGAGATTATCATGCAAATGTTGATTGTGTAACCATGGAATCATCTCTTTCGTTCAGAGTTAAAATGGCATTCTTGTTGGCCTTTGTCCACTTATAATAGGAAGAGGGTTTGGAATCGGGACAGTAAAAGACCCTACGCTGGAATATACTGCCAGATGACAATTGTCCATTTTTAAGGACACTGACACCTGTAATAGAATCAGTACTTGACAGTTTCCCTGTTCAAAATCCAGTCTCCATCTGAACACAGGGCACCAACTCCCACATGAGTGCTTGCATTTGACTCTTCCAGGCCCCAAGACAAGCCTTATTCACCGCCACACCTCACCTGCTCATCCAGTTATCCTGTTACTCCAGAGTTCAGAATTCCTCTAATGGAATCCTGGTCCCACCCACACCCATTGTGACTCTGCCTATCTCCCCCCCTTCCCCGTCCTTCTAAGCAAGGGCTAGGAGGTGTGATGGGGAACTGGCACTCTAGGCTGTCAGTATCAAGACTGAGACAGCAAAGCCAAAAGTCGCATCTGGACAGGTTTTAGAGCCTGGAAGACCATGGGTAAGACAAGAAAACCCAGTCTGGCAATCAGGTACAGAACTGTAGATCTTAGTCCCCAGCATCAAAGACCAGAGGGTACTCTCATCCTTTTGGAAGTCCAGGGTCATGCCTAGAATACTGGTGTCCCTTCCTGAAGGGATTGGTTCCTTTACTTATTAGTCAGGCAGGCTGTGTTCTCTGAGCACCTATGTTATGCCCCACTCCTGCTGAAACTAAAGACATATATGGAAAAACAGGCCCTTCCTGGGAGGAACTCCAGTCTAATGGGGTATAAGTGAACAGTCCATTATAATGCTCTGTGCTGTGATAGGAGTAGCACAAGGAGCACAAGAAGGCAAGAGCAGGGGGCCCAAGAGGTGACACTTCATTGGACCCTTTAAATGGGAATGAAAAAATCCTGCATTTATGCATACAGAACTGGGGTACAGGCCAGAGGCTCAGGGGCAGTGAGAGGCTTCACCAGAGACAGAGTGGGGAGCAGAACAGGCAGATGATCAAAGTACACTGCTGAGAGGAGCAGTGGGCGGGTTAGGAGAGGTCTGCTGCGCCATGTGGGGCGGGGATCGAACTTATGCTGAAGTGACTTTAGCTTCTTAGTGCTGTGCTTTAACCTGCTGCGCCACCAGGGAAGGCCTGCATACAGGACTCTTGACTAGAGTTGTGGGGGCAGCCTCTCAGGATGAAAAACTTGGGAGTGGGAAATGCTCTCTGGTTTTCCTCTCACATTTACACCTCATCACCCTGGCCTTGTGGTGACATTGGCTTTGAAGCCATTTTCAGATTCCACTAAATCAGGCTCGTACTACTCAATCCCTCCACACCCAGGTCTCTACATTGGTTGGCGCTGCCCTCACTATCTATGGGACTGTTTCCGAATTGGGGATGAATCTAAGTGCTTTTGTGGACACTTGTTGAAAGAACACAGGATCATTTCTGGTAGGATGAATTGACCAAGCCCTGTTGGTAAGGAATGAAAAACCCCACGTGTGTTGGAATGTGTGTGTGTGTGAGAGAGAGAGAGAGAGAAAGATGGTGTGGGGTGGGGTGAGGTGGAGTGGAGAAGGTCAGGTCCTACCTGGGGCTGGTCTAATCCTATCACCCCTGCCATTCCTGTAGATATATCTGTGCCCTGCAACATAGGCCAGTGCCGCTGTCTCATGTTCTGCTTTATCCCATCACGCCCAGAAGAGGTGGGTGAGTTCTGGCTCAAGAGAAGGGCCACCTTTGATCCCAAGGCCTGGAGAGCGCAATGTCGCTGCAAACATAGCCACGAAGACCATGCAGCTACCGGTTCCCATCCCTGCAGGATCAAAGGTATCTTCTAGGGCAAGGGGAAGGCAGGAGAGGGCAGAGGTGAGACAGGATGTACAGAGTTTAAGGACAAGGATGGGGAGCTGGTAGGAGAAAGCTGACTTTGTGGTTACTGAGGAAGAAATAGAAACATAGTAAGCCCTTAGGAAGCCCCATTGTCTACCTCCACTTTTCTTGGTTATCCCTTTCCGTAGGCTGTTGCTGCAACTGCTTTGAATCTAATTTCCTGTGTGCGGCCTGTGACCGACGCTGGGAGGAACATGAGACTTTCTTTGAGACTGAAGAGACCAGGCGACGAGGAGGGAGGCCTCATGGTGAGAAGTCAACAAGAGACAGGCAGCCACTCCTGGGTCTGTGGGCAGAGGTCAGGCAGGAAGGCACTCCTGCCCTCAACCATCCCATCCAGGACTACCTCGGCCCCTTACAGGATACCTCGGCCCCTTACTTGTTGCATACCATACCTGCACTGGTACTGGTTTCTGCCCCCAGGAGCAGACTGCACATCCTTTGCAGAGAAAACTTAGCCTCTGAAAAGTCATTTCAACAACTCTGACTTTGAGGCCCTGCATAAGGGTTCTCTAGCCATCCCCAACACACAGAGCCTCTTATGTGGCCCTAAATTAACCCCTACACCTGACCCTCTCGCGCCTCTGCTCTTCTCTTTTCCAGGGACAAGCGTAGTCAATACCTGGCGTAGGCCTTTGTGAGCCTGACCCAGATCCGCAATAAAAGGAGAGGACACTGGAATCTGAACTGACTCTCTCTGGGGCAGAGGAGCTTAGACCAGGAATAGACATCCTAGGAGCTTAGAGTTGGCATGGACTGGGGACTAAAGAGTGCACCGCCCAGGAGAAAGCCATCTGCCTCCACCACACCCACACTCAAGCTGCTAACACTGACATCAGGGGACAGACTTCAAGGAAGCCAAGGAGGGAGACTTTCAAGAACAACAGAGTAAGCAGTGAGGTTAGATGCACTGAGAGTTCTGGTATGATGAAGCCTGAAAAGGATTTTGCAGTTAGAAGTTCTTTGTATGAGACTTTATAGAGGGTGCAGCTCACTCACTCTACAGTGAAGATAGAAACCTACCAACAGTTAAGTTTGAAGGAGTTTCTTTAAGAATCTTAGTTGAAAGAGTAGGTGAGAAGTAAGACGCTGTCCAGAGGGAGAGGTGGCATCAAAGAAGTATTTTTAGAAAGTAAAAAGGGAGAGGGCCAGTAGAGAAAAAGACCTTGGAGGACACAGAGGAGAAAGAGATAACTGGTGAAACAAGATCCCACAGATGGAGGGAGTAGATGAGGTGAAGGCAGAGGCATTCACTCTGGACAGGAGAAACACCATTTCCTAAGACCAAGAAGATGGAAAAAATAATGATATCTCCATTGATCTGCCAGGAGAAGGTCTCCATGGGAACCCTCTATGTTCCCCTGAGAAGTGAAAAACAAAATCAGTTGTTGGTGGGGGAGGACAGGGGTAGGTAACCTGGAGATAATGGAAAAGTAGAGGTGAAGACTTGGGAAGGCTAACAGAGGAAATTGAAGAAAAACCTGATCAGTGGGTAGTTGAAGATTGAGAAACAGCAGGCAGCAGAAACTAGAGGAGTGGAGACACAAACTTTAAAATAATGGGTAGTGGTGGGAGGGTGTCCATGAAGATGATCAGGAAAGGGACGCCTAAGAAGCAGACTCCAAGATGTTAAGGGAGCTGGCTATACAAATAGGAAAACAGGGAAACCAGGAAGCAACTGACAGATGAAAAAGGAGCAAAGGAACAGACCTCTCTAATGAGGTCCAGTGGCAATTGGGTGCAGTGGCAGCCAGAGAAGCGCAGGAGGCAGTAGTCAGATCTGCACAGCGCTGCAGTTTTTAGCAGGTAGGCCGTAGCAGAGATTGGTGATACTCAGCAAAACTGCAGGGAACCAAAACAGATACTGGGCAAAGCCAAGGGATGCCCAGGGACCCCAAATTGTTAAGAGGAAAAGCCCACTTTGCCTGTTCTAAGCGTATGTGCTGCCCACACATATGAAAGCAAAATAAATCTTAGGGTGTTCAAGGACACTGAATGAGAAAGAGGTTACAGAGAACAGAGAGGAGGAACTGTGAAAAGTGGGAAAGAGAAGGATTTCCAAATAGACTCCAGATCATAAGCATATGAAAAAATGTTCAACATCACTTGTAATAAGGGAGATGCAAATTAATGAGATACCACCTCACCCCAGTGAGAACGGCACATCTTCAAACAACTAGCAACAACAAATGTTGGCGAAGATGTGGAGAAAAAGGAACTCTCCTGCACTGCTGGTGGGAATACAAACTAGTACAACCACTATGGAAAACTATTTGGAGGTTCCTCAAACTGCTAAACATGGAGCTTCCCTATGACCCAGCAATCCCAAATAGACTCCAGATCAGATTCCAAAGTTTACCATGCCATCATAGAGCAAAGTTCAAACAGGCAGAGCCCAAAGCTGAGAAGCAAAGGCCCAAAAGCGGAGCTTGGGTGTGAGTATAGTAGTAGTTGGTGACCCCATGTTTTTTAGGTAAAATATGTATTCTGACAGAGCAAAATACATTAGATGGTGCATTTCCCTTGTTCTTCAATCCTGGCTTACTAAAAAATCCATTCCCGAGCTAACCACATGACACACCTTTTCAGATTAGGAAAGAACATTACATACTACTTTGCTTATCAGTCTGTGGCAGAGAGATGACATTCCTGCCCCTGCCCATAAAGAAAAAAAAATTTTTTTTAACCCGCTGTGATAAATGAAGAATCTTGCATCTTGAAGTATGTTAACAAAAACTTAACACTGAGGAATTGCCCTTAGATGAGTAAATTAGAATCCCTGAAACGCTCAGGGGCTGCCACTGCTCTTGTGTGGGAAATGATGAAAAACCAGGTCTGATCACGGTCCCGGTTCACCTTGAGCCACCTGGTCCCCTGCCCTCCAGCCGAACGCCTGGGATCTCGAACTCCAGGGGTTAGCGGCGGTTCCAGGAGCCAATGAGCGCCGAGGACGCTCAGAACACCGCCTCCGTGCTGGCTAAAGCGGTGCAAGCGTCTGCAGTCAGCGCCCCAGCGCGGCAGGTGATAAGCCCCGCCCCCCCCCTCCCGTGGGGGCTGGACCCCCAACTAGCGGAGCCCACCCACTACGGGGCCGCGGCCAAGGTCCCGGCGGGTGTGGCGTGCCAGAACGAAAAGGAGTAAAACCCCGCCTCTACGGCTCTAGATCCTTCCAAAGAGGACGCTCACGCCGATTAAAAGACGACGCCAGTGGATGGGAAAATCGCCCTGGAATTGGTAGAATTAGCCAATGGCATGAAAAGACACCGCCTCTTAAGGTGGCGGCGAAGCCAATGGCGTGAACAGAGCCACTCCCTGAGCTAAAAGAGGCGGTGGGCAAGGCTCAAAACCAATGGGACGTCGGGGCGCGCTCCCCTCGCAGCCCCGCCCCGGGCAGGCCGCACTGCCCCAGCGCTCGGCCCGCGGGAGACGTCCAGTGGCTGGGGGAAGATGGCGGCGGCCGTGGCACTGGTCGCCGGGCTGCGCGTGGCGCGCAGGACAATGGCGGCCGCCGGGCCGTGGGGGGCGCAGGTGAGAAGTAACTACGTGGGCGAGGAGGGGGTTCCCCGGCTCCGACCACAGGCCGAGCGGGTCACCGCCTCCTTCTCGCGATCCCGAAGGCGCGCGCGCCCTGCAGCCTCGAACGGCGGGAGCTGGAGAGCCGGACTTAGTGCTGGCCTTCCCGGGGCCACCCGGGGCTGCGCGTTGAGTTCGGACGCGGCGCTTCTCCGAAAGCCTCGCCGCTGGAGAAGCAAACTGGCGACTGCAGATGCCTTGCGCAGGCCGGGTGCTGAGGTCGGGACAGGGTCATGGGTGCTTGCTGCCCTCTAGGTCTGCCTGACGCACAGTTGACCGGCTCCTGTCCCGGGTAGCCTCCCCAGTGCCCCCTGCAGGAAGTGAGCTTTTTTTTCTCGGAGTCCATCTTCCAAGCCTGCCTCTGGCCCCTGCCCGTCCACTGCGCACTGGTGTTAACCTCTCATCTTCCCCACTTGCCAGTGACTCGCGGGTCGGGTACATGCAGATCTTCTCTCTCACGATTCTACAGTACTGACATAAGTCTTCTCTAGGTCCCTGGAAAATGGGACCCACCTTACCTTCAGTCACTTGATGTTGAGGGAGCAGAGTCCACTTAACTCTTCACTAATTCAAGGGACTAGAGTTAAAATTCACAAAAAGATAAAATGTGGCACCCAGACACCCTAGTGTCAAACGGCACTTGTATTAAAGCCTGAGTTAAAGGGGTAAGTAACAGCTTAAAGATAGAGGGAAAGCAGTGGCAATAAAGTTGAAAGTTATTAACAAGGTGAGATTAAATGGTTTCAGGATGCAAACCATCCCCTTTATATTTTAAGCTAAGACAACGAATTTACCCAAGGTAAATCAGTAGTTAAAATATGAACAGGAACTTAAGTCTCTAAGCTCTCTGGATCCTTCCCCACAAACATACAATCTTCATACACTTGGGGAGCAGGAATCCATCGTATGTTTGATGCCTACATTGTAACAGTGCCTGCTGTTATCCAGGGCCCTCTGGTCCTACTCTGCTGTTTGATGCTCCTGTGGATAAGAGCATTTCTTCTGGTGGGAACCACCAGTGGGTTTTACAGAAGTGTGAAGTTAATGACTAGTAGTGCCCAGCCCTGACTCCATGATCAAGGTATTGCCAACTCCCTCCCTTGGGTGTCTCTGACCCACATTCAGGTCCGAAGAGCTGCAGGTGTGACTGGTGGTGATGAAGTGGCCAAGGCCCAGAAGGCAGCTCCTGGTGGAGCAGCCCCCACCATCTTTTCTCGGATCTTGGATCGAAGCCTCCCCGCTGACATTCTGTACGAGGACCAGAAGGTGTGGTACCCTTAGGGCCATATCCTTAGGAGTCTCGTAGATAGCATCTGGCCTATTGAAGTAACATGATGACTTTTCATCTGCACCAGTGTCTCGTGTTCCGTGATGTGGCCCCTCAGGCCCCTGTGCACTTCCTGGTCATTCCTAAGAAGCCTATTCCTCGGATTAGCCAGGCTGAAGAAGAAGACCAGCAGGTGGGAATAACAGGGCAGAACTTCCCAGCAGGGAACCCTGGACTCAGCTAGAGGCTGTGAATGAAGCCCCCTGTCACCCTTTTTACTATAGCTTCTAGGACACCTTCTTCTTGTGGCCAAGAAAACAGCAAAGGCTCAGGGGCTGGGAGATGGATACCGACTTGGTGAGTAACTTTGGTCCCTTGTACCCCTCAACTATGAATCCTCGTAGCTGCCTCTCAATATGATCTTTAGTCCTTGACCATCCCTGTGATACTGACCCCCTAACCTTGCATTCTATTGCAGTGATCAACGATGGGAAACTGGGTGCACAGTCTGTGTATCATCTGCATATTCATGTCCTTGGGGGCAGACAGCTCCAGTGGCCTCCAGGTTGAACCTACCAACTAACCAAAGACCCCACATCTGGATGCTTGGATAGAGTGGGAGGGGAAAGCAACCCTGTGATACTAATAAACCTGCTCTCCCTCAATTTGGATCCCTGTCTTATATATAGGTACATATATATAGAGAGAGAGAGACAGAGAAAGAGAGAGAGAGATAGATATAGATATATAGATCTATATCACAGGGGCCCTCCACACCACCTCCCTGATGGCCCAACAGATTAAAGCTCAGCACTATGAAGCTAACTCCAGCCACTTCAGCACAAGTTGGATTCTGGCCAGGGAGGTGACCCACATGGTGTGACAGACCTCTCCTGACCTGCCCACTGCCCCCCTTAGCAGTGTACTTTATCAATCTGCCTGTTCTGTTCCCCATTCTGTCTCTGGTGAAGCCTCTCATTGACCCTGCACCTCTGGCCTGTACCCCAGCTCTGTATGCATAAATAAATGAACCTAAAAAAAAAAACTATACCACAAATGGGAAGAAAACTGATTCAAGGCTATGATGCCTCTTGACTATGGTGTTAGTGAAAGACGTTAAGGAGGGCCATCGGTAGTTAAAAGAGCATTTTGTCCATAGACCTATGGGTCTTTGTGAGTAGTGGTCTACCTGGGTCAAGCTTGAGTAAACAGAAAGTGACTGAAGCCCAGGAGTGAGACTAGCTTTATCCTGGCCCTCATTCAAATGCCAAACCAAGTTCTAAAGAGTTGGGAGGAGTATGATCATGTGAGGGCCAGTTAATGGAGAGTAATCACAGCCTAAAAGGCTGCTGTCCTTGGAGTAATAATCCCCAAGTTTCATATTTTAATCCTTAAACATTTTTTTAAACACTTTCCCTGTTTTTAAAAATAAACTAAGGAGAAAGGCACAAACACACACCGAATACACTCTTGTCTGACGCAGCCCTGTCTCCAACATAGAGAACTACCTTGGAAAGCCTCAAGGAATCATGTCGGGCTTACAGAGTGAGGCCTTAGGCCAGCGGAACCTTAAATGCCGGGCGGAGGCGGAGTGGAATCTGGATGGAAAACGGACTACGGCCTGCGATGCCTTGGGTTTAACAGACTTCCGCCCCGCAGACTTTTGCTCCACCCCCACACTCTAAGCCCGCCCAACTCTAGTTCTGCGCAGTCTCCAAGAATTATTTGCCATCTCTATGGCAACCCGGTAGCTTGTGTCTGAAGATAGGGACGGATCTCCTATCCAGTGGCGGTGAGAGGCGTTGTTCTGGCTACACGCATAAGGGGACAAAGCAATGCAACGAATTTCCTCAACCGCGCTTTTAACAACGTTGATGCGTTTGTTTTCTTTCAGGTCTTTAGAACTACAGCCCAACTCTGAGGATTGGGATCCGATTTGGAACTGTTTCCTTCTTCGAATAACCGACCTAGGCCGACCCTGCCTGCATCAGCCACAGCAGCAACCTCCAGCCCTAAAACAACTTCATTACCTACAAAGACCCCAGCAGCCGACTCAGCCCACTTCTGATGGAGACCTCCTCTGACAGTCTCAGAGGGTCTCACACTGGACCCAGTTACAAGACAAGCCATGAGAGTCTTAGCTGTGAACCGGTCTATCTTTCCTCTATTACTGAGGATCCCTGTACTTCCAATGACCCTGGTTCTAGTCCTGCAACTGCTCGTGGCTCCACTTCTGGTCTTGACCATTCTGGTCCTGACTCAAGTCTTTGTGATAGCTCTGGTAGAGGTGCTGGTCCTACCCTTAAATCTGGGCATAGTCCAGTCTGTGTCAGTGTCTCTGAGGTCAAGCCATGTGTTCCCACAAGCTTCAGAAATCCTGGGGCTGACCTGGTCCTTAGTTATACTTCATGCTATGGGGAACCTCAGAAACAACCACCTTGGCAAGGTTTGCAAGTACCAGAACCCGGTGCCCGGGGGTTATGGAAGCTCCCTGAGGCTGAAGAGAATTGTGAATTTCTTAATGAAGTGAAGCCAAGGGGCCAGTGTCTTCTCTACAACTGGGAGGAGGAGGTATTACAGTTTGAACTACTATTTTTTTTTTTTTTTTTTGATGGCTGCCCCTTCAGTTTCCTGGGGGAAGTAGTAATTGATGAAGGTAGTCCTGGAAAAGATGTTATGGTAACTTAACTTGGGGTCCACAGAGGGCCACCAACCATCTGGATCAAGTTCCAAGCATGCAGGATGGCTCTGAGAGTTACTTCTTCCGACATGGACACCAGGGACTGCTGACCCTGCAGCTACAGTCGCCCATGTCCTTCAGCACCACTCAGAAAGATTCATATCAGTTCCCGAGAAAACATCATCAGCCTGTTCGAGGTGGGAAGCCCAAGGGAACACCAGAGTAAATACATTAGAGGGAAAAAAAGAGACAAAGCAATTTCTTGTGGGACTCTGAATTGTCCTGTGGATAGAAGGGCAAACTCCTACAATTTTCCTTCTCAAATTTGTTTCTTCTGGCCCCGCCTCTTAACCAGACTTCCTCATTGTCCGCTCTCTGCCTTCCCACAGGGAAGCGTGAAGCCACGCTGGAGCTGCTCCTGCACCACCAGATCTGGTGAGAGGCCGAGTGAAAAGGGGAGGGGGAGGGCAAAAACGGGGGGGGGGGCAGTGGCCTTGACTATCCCTGGGCTGTACAGTAAAGAGGTACAGGCGGAACAGGAAACCCCAAAGATGCACTCTGAGGTGGAGTCTGTGACACACCATGACTACAAAAAGGATCTGGTGCAAACAGGGCCTCCTGCCCCAACAAAGGTGAGAACCCATCCCATCCCGCTTATACAGCTGAGCTCTGATGAGCTGTGGGGAAGAAGCAAGCCCAGAGGTTGACAGAGGGAGCTTCCAGCCAAAAGTTAATCCACTCTCTCTCTCCTCAGCCTCACGACTACCGTCAAGAGCAGCCGGAAACCTTCTGGAAGCAGAGGGCATCGCAGCTACCGGTGTGTGAGGGTGACTGGGTGATGGGGCTGGGGGAGAAGAAAGAGCAGAGGCTGTTCTGTTCTGGCATGGTGAGGAGGATCTGTCCTCATTCTGGCACTCTTTCAGGGTGTCAGTAATATCAAGACATTGGACACACCATTCCGGAAGAACTGCAGCTTCTCAACACCAGTGCCTTTGTCTCTAGGGCAGCCTTTGCCCTACGAACCTGAGGATTTCTCCCACCATTTAGGAGAAATATCTTCCCTTGTCTGTCAGGGAGGTGGGCTGGGTAGCGCAGGGGGTAGAATTACTCCTACCTAAGGGTTGAAGACAGAAATAGACTGAGATTTATTTGTAGTGGAAAAGCGGAAATGATGTCTGTCTGTACTTGGTGAAAGGACTTTACATAAAGGGTTCTCTCTCATCCTGGATCTGCTAATTCAGTGATTCTGTGACCCTGTGTACCTTATAAGCCCCTAACCCAGACTATGACACCATGGCTTTTTTTGTTGTTGTGTATTTGGCCAAAATATTCTGGTTTAGATACAGATATTTACAGAAAGTCAGGAGGAAAGGGACCAGGCAAGAGAAGGGCAGATATATGTACAAGACTGAGCTGCAAAGGGCAACACTTTGATACAGGTAGGGTGTTTGTGCACACTGGTTTTCCACCTCATGTAATGACGCCCGTTTCTGATATGTGGAGAGATGGTGGTCACTGCCCACCCAGGTTGCCAGCAGCAGGAGATTGTCCGATTTGGGAAGAAGTGGGGCTTACAGGAGTCCAGCAGGTCCTTTACGCTCTCCTAGGAGCCAATAAGTTCGCATCTTTCCTTTTCCCTAGAAGCAGGTGAGGTAGGTAACTCAGATTGTCCTATAGCAGTCCTTTTAGCTCCATTCTCTTCCTGCAGAGCCCCCCACTGCAATCACTTTTATCCTCCCTTTCAATGACCACCTCCCCATTACCCTCCATCACCTTCATCTCCACATCCCCCCGAAGCTCCAACTGGAAGCATCCTAGCTCATCCAGGGCATCCTTGGTGGTAGAGGAGACATGGATCTTCAGGGCTGGGGAGAGATGGGGTGTCGTGGAAAGAAGAGTCAAAAAAAAAAAAAGGGAACAGAAGAATGGGTGGTATTGGAGAGTGCTTTACCCAACCGCCATCCCTCAAAGGCTCAGAGTGCACCCCAATGTATGTGCACTCAAATCATGCCCATGGAGAGGGCAGTCAGGAATAATCACCTCTCAGATCAAGACTAAGGAGGAACTCTGAAAAGAAGAGAGGGGACACAGATGGAGTCTAAAGCCAGGGCTCAGGGCCTGTGTCTCACCTTGCCCGTTTGACTCCATTCGGGAAGCGGTGTTCACTGTGTCTCCAAAAAGACAATAGCGGGGCATCTTCAGGCCAACAACCCCAGCACAGACGGGCCCTGTGAGAAAATCAGGTTGGAGAGCTTGGGGAAAGTGGATGCTAGGGCTGGAGTGTGAGTCAGCCTTACCTGTGTGGACCCCTATGCGTAGCCTCAGCTGGTCGTGGGGCCTGTGGCGGATGCGGAAGGACGAAACTGCATCCAACAATGCTAGGGCCATACGAGCAATTTCTGGAGCATGGCGTTGACCATTTCGACCCGGGAGACCAGATACCACCATATAGGCATCTCCAATGGTCTCTACCTGATTGAGAGAATTAAAGGGTCACTTCTAACTATCGCAAGAGGAAGCATAGAAGACCCTCTGGACACCTCCTTGAGTCGTCCTGACAGCCTTGGTAGCCAGACATACACTAGAAGATAAGTGCCATGGCCCTGAGGCTCTCTGAGGAAAGGGGGGCCAAGGGAATCTTTAAATCCTCCTTACCCCAGCACCTGGAAAGTACTCAGTAAATGTCTGCTGAATGAACAGAAGCCCTGTAAGACAGTGGTGGAAAAATAGTCTCTACTGTGAGGAAGTGGGAAGCAAGAAAACAGGGCTGACCCGAGGAGCACAGAGGCTGGTGAGGAAGTCAAGCAAGCCCAGGCATATGGATTGCAGACGGCCTACGCTGTGCAAGGTAAGAGAGCAGGTGTTTGGCTTGCTAACCATCCCGAAGCTGTATAAGAGGATGCCCTTGCTTTTTAAACTGGACACCATTTAAGGAGCACTGGCCCTCCCTAGTGGCACAGGGGTTTAAGACACAGCACGAGTTCTACTCCCTGCTTGCCAAGGAGCTGACCCACATGGCGCGGCAGACCTCTCCTGCCTTGCCCACTGCTCAATCTGCCTGTTCTGCTCCCCACTCTGTCTCTGGTGAACCCTCTCACCTCCTGCACCTCTGGCCTGGCCCCCAGTTCTGTATGCATAAATAATTTTTTTTAAAGATTTATTTATTTGTGCTTACAGAACTGGGGTACAGGCCAGAGGCTCAGGGGTGGTGAGAGGCTTCACCAGAGACAGAGTGGGGAGCAGAACAGGCAGACTGACGAAGTACACTGCTGAGGGGAGCAGCGGGCGGGTCAGGAGAGGTCTGCCACGCCATGTGGTCACCTCCGGGGCAGGCGGGAATCGAACTCATGCGGAAGTGGCTTTAGCTTCTTAGTGCTGTGTTTTAACCCACTGCGCCACCAGGGAGGGCCGCATAAATAATTTTTTAAAAAAAAGAATAAAGGGACACTTATGTCTGAAATTTACTCTCAAGCAATTCAGAAAATATTTTTCTAAATAATTATATAGACATATAGGTAGATTTTTAAAATAAAAAAACAGTAAGCAAGTGGTGGTTCTGGGTAAAGGGCTTAGGAGGAGTTCTTTGTTATAGTAAGGACAGGGTGGCAGAGCAAGTCCAAAGGGAAGACACAAGAGTTGGTCTTTATCACCTGCGCAATGTGAGGCACTTCCAATAATAAAACTGTTACTTCCAATTTACAGATAAGACAGCCAATGCTCAGGGAGCTTATGTTATTTGCCCAAGGCCACAAAGTTAGCAACAAACCCAATATGTAAATCCAAATCACTTTTACTCCAAGTACAATAATGCCTAACCTCTGCCAACTCAGTAACATCAACAAAAACTTTGATGAAATATACTGTCCCTCATGCCAGAAATCATTCAGTACTCATATCCTCTATGATTCTTCCATCCCGTGAGGGAATAAAGAGAAAAGGTGGCTAGGCTGTATTTTTTATTCCCCAGGTAAAAAGTGGCAGATAGGGGCTCAATCTAGGGATGGTTCCAAGTAGGGAAGCCTGAGAATTCTCAAGAAATCAGACTGCAGTACACAAACATATGTCTACAATAGGATGCTGGAGACCTAGGAGGAAAGTGACCACAGGGGTGGTAAGGTATGTGGGGTTCAGGGAGATCGGGTCTCAGTGGAAGGGTAGCCGAAGCTCTCACCTTGTAGACATCAAAGTTGTCAATTATGGCATCAAAGCAGGTGTACAGGTCATTAAGAAGTGTCACCACCTAACAGGGATGGGAAAGTAGAGGCCCTGAGACTTATGCCCAACTCCCTAAGAGCTCTAAACCCACAAGCTGTAACAAGATAAGGGAACAGATCCTACTACCGAGGACCCCAATGCCCAAACACAGCTCCCCTGAGTCCCAAGCCCATGGCCCCTTACCCATAACTCTCACCTGCATCGGGGTGCTCTCTGCTGACAAAGCTGTGAAGCCAACGATGTCACTGAAGTAGATGGTCACACTGTCAAAGGCCTCTGCCTGTACCGTCTCTCCCCGTTTTAACTGCTCTGCCACTGAACTAGGAAGCAAGAGTGTAGTTTGAGCTGAACTCAGAGAAATGGAAGGGGGGGAGGAGATGGCTTGGTAGAGAAGAGTGGTGGCTGGGAGAGCATATAGCCTAGCACAGGGAAAGGGGTACCAGTGGTGGGGACTTGGAAGGGTCTAAATATCTCAAGTTGGGATCCTTACACACACACTTGCTGAAGCAAAGGGCAGCTGTCGGAGATGAAGGATTGGGAAGCCAGAAAGAAAGCAGCACAGATCATTTGGAGATAAAATGAAAACAGTCTCTAGCCGGAAGGTGGCAAGGTGGAACAAAGCAGAGTTCGACGGGCTAGGAAGGAGTTTTCATGGGCTTGGTAAGGCAGAACCCAACAGAGCAGGGCACCAAAGGAAACTCCAGGGAAGGGACAAGGGGCTCACTGGGGAAGAATTTGGTAGAGTAGAGCTTCAGCCTTGCGTTTCTCCTCCAGATAGGCTTGTGTGCGTTCCTCCACCAGCTTCTCCAGGTTGTTGGCATACTGTTCCATGCGCAACAGGAGGTTGTCCAATATGCTGGTGCCACCCTCCCTGGAAGGGGAGGCTACAATATGGTACCTGCTGCAAGGTTTAACCCAACCCATGCCTGGCCCCCATGGCAAAACGTCATCCACTAAGACTGATGAGACTTCCATCCCTGGGGGTCCCTGGGCCCTAGTGCCCTCTCACTTATTAAAGCGGCGAATGAAGCCCTTAATCTGTCCAAAATCTGGTCGCTCAGCTGGGTCCTGGGCCCAACATCGCTCCATCAGCAAAACTAGTTCTTCATTCAATTGGGTCCGGTCAATGCTTGGCCGGAAATAGGGCCGCTGACCATTTCGGATCTTCTGGACAATCTCTGAGGATGATAAAGGGTTCAAATGAAGAGCAGAGTGGCCCCCACACACACATCAGGGAAGAGACCATGGGTAGTAGATTGATTCTTACCTTTAGGACTCAGGTCCAGGCCCTCCAAGTAGAAAGGACCACTGCGCAGTGCTATCTCCTGTAAGATGATTCCAAAGCTATAGACATCAGCCTTCTGCATGCCCGCGGTTGGCAAGGGGTTCCCACTGAGCAGTTCTGGGGCAGTCCACAGCTTCTCTGAAAAGAGGGAATAGACTGGCCAGGTCCCCAAAAAGGATATCCCCAAGCCCACCTGGGCTAATTCCTATAATGCTCCCCATGTAACTGTCACTCCCTCTCCTTCTCCCACCCTCCCTAGGTGGAAATTGGCAGGGCCAGAGGAACAATATGAGCTGAGGGGGAAGGCCTCACTGGCATAGAGAGCATGGCTGTCGTCAGGTTCAGCAGTCGATCGGAAGCTGGCTAGGCCGTAGTCTGTGATTTTGAGCACAAAACGACTATCCACCACACAGTTGGAGGACTTGAGACTCCCATGGGAGGCAATAATGCTGTTATGGAGAAAGGCCATGCCCTGTAGGGGACAGATCAAGTCAGGGATGGGATGAGCTCCCCCACTTCTCCACAAGGTGGGGATTAGCCAGCCATCCAAGGATCTTGGAACCTTGGAAACAGTAAGCTAATTTGGGAGGGCAATCTTTGCAGAATTTCTACCCAAAGAAGCAGGCAGATAAGAAAATCATACCTTCCTAACACCAGAAGCAATATACTGACCCAGGCACCAGAGGTAGAAAAAGGGGTAAAGGGAGGTATCAGTTATTACCCTAGAAAACAGATAGTCAATTGTCTTTAGTGATGAAGGGAGCAGAAAGATGACACCCGTGGTGCCCTCCAATTCATAGCCACCAATTAGCAAGACATGGCTTGAGACACAAGTATCAGTAGTTAGCACCAAGAAAACTAACCAGTTGTAAACTTTAACACATAGACACATTTAAGCAGGAAATCGTCAGGAGAGAGGATGAAGCATGAAGGCCAGAGAGAAAGTGGAGAAAAAAGTGCCTTACAAAAACTTGGAAAATGGACAAAAGTAGGAGACGCTGCCAAACCAACACAAAAGAGGGAGACTTCTGGCCACATGGAGTCATAGAGGAGGGAACCTTGGCCCTGGAAAGACTGAAAGGCAGGTCCTGAGTGGGCAGCGTGGTGCTTCCCATCGTGAAGTCCCACCCGCTCCCCAGGTCATGTCAGGTGGCACAGAGAGACACGGCCTTCTGTACGCTAACTGAAAAAACCTGCTAGACAGTCCAACGGCTAGGTCCAGAACTAAACAATTCATAATTTGAGTTTCTGTGAACTCTTCCCTTGTATTCCTTTTATTATCTGCAAAACCCTTGGCTATTTCCAAATGAGTGAATACAGAAATGATGAGGCTTCTGGCCTTGTGCTATATCTCCTCCCATCAAATTATTATTCTCTCAAGAGTCAGGTTTTTCTTATATTTATCATCACACCCCCAGCTGAATACCACATCAACTTTGCCAAATATTTTTCCTCATTTGATGGCAAACTTTCATACACAAAAAGTATTTTCAATAATCTCCTAAAATTCAGCAGAAAAACCAAAGCCAACTGCAGGTATTGTATGGGTGATCCACTAGGCCAGCTCACTGGCTGTGGGCCTTGCTTCTACAATAAGCACCAGGCAAGAGGCCAATGTCTACCTCCATAACTCCACAGACCCGTGCAGGTAGCTGGCGCCTAGTATGCCGTCAGATACTGCAGGGTTAGTATCCTTCTCCTTGGTTACTCTTTTATTTCCTTGTAAACATTTTCAATTTTCAGTTTTTATGAACCAAATGTTGGCCAGAGAGTAAATAAAGAGAAAAAACAGGAGCTAAACGTTTGGAAGACTCCACTTATCTTTCCCCCAGTAAGGGATTTTAGTATAAGCTTCTGGAGGTGAAAAGAAGATAATGGGAGAGAAATCTGTGAGATCTAGGGCAGGGACACAAAAAGTTCTGCACAAGACTGTATCAGACAAAATTCATTCCCAATTAACACACCAGACCCCTCTGTACCCATTATTATCCAAGCACAGGAATAGAGGCAATGGAGATGATGGGGCTTTGAGACCACCAGGAAGAGAAATTGTAAGCATGGGTAAGAAGACACAGGCATTTTAAAGTACACAAACCCTGAAGGAGTAGGGGCGACTCACCTTCACAAGATCATTAATGAGCGAATAACGAAACATCCAATCCAAGTTGATGCTGTCATTTTCCAGAATATCCTAGGAAGTGACACAGAGTAGATTGTGTGACAATCCTTGTCCTGCTAGCTGTCACCTGCATGATGTCAGGGTCACGATGGGTCCGCATCACTCACACACACGCCTCTTCCAACCAGCTCCACCCTCACCTGTAAACTCCCACGAGGGCAATACTCAGTGACGATGCAAATGTTGGGAGGGTCAATACAGGCACCAATGAAGCGAGTGAGATGGTTGAACTGAACATCTCTCATCTAACAAAAGCAATGGAAAGGAAAAGATTGCTGAAAAAAAAAAAACAAGAACTAGACAGACATCGACACTGCAGAGAGGACCTTGCTCTGAGTTTTACCTACACCTTAAAATCACTTGTAAATAAATCCCTGGTCCTCTTAGTCAAGTTTACTACTCCACAGTCTTCCCATTTTCTCTTCCATCCTCATTTACCCCTCACCCTCAACCCACATCCATGACATACATGTTTGAGCTCAAACAGAACCTGCCGGGTCAGCTCAATGCGCTTCTTGTTCACATGTTTGATGGCAACGACATTACCCTGAGGGTGGAAGTGAAAGGGGGAAAGGGAAATTAAGTTTCCTGATGCTAGGAAACACGGAGAACTGTGGGGACATCTGGAGCTCAGCTGGGCAGACAGAAGGCACAGAGGGGATCACGAGGGGCAGAGTCCACAGGAGAAGTGGCAGGCGGGATGAGATGGGATGAAATGGTGGGGACCAGAACAAGCAGGATGACTGTTCACCTTGAAGTGACCGGTGTTGGCAAAGATCTGGTATTTCCCATGGGCTGTCATGAGCGAGCCGTAACTGGATCCCCGCTGGGGCCAAGAGCAACATGGAGACGGAAGGATGAAAGGAACGTTAGATGATGGTGGTAGGGCAGGGGCTGTCATTACAGGCCAGTGTGCTGGGAAAGGTCCAGGGAGAGAAAGGTCAGGAACTCAGAGGGATGCAGAGGGACAGCTGAGACGCGGACTCACCAGTGACAGTGTGAGACGGCTGCCTGCACCTTTATGATATCGCTCAGAGTTGCCAAACTGCAGTTCTTCCCAGCGAATGCGCCACAACATGCTAGCCAGCTCCTTCTCCAGCATCAGCTTTCTGTAAGGACTGCGCACCTCAGTTGACTGGCAAGCCCGAGCCTACCACCCCAGAAGCCTACAAGGGTGATGCAGGGACTTCCCTGCAGCTCCTAAAGCCATACTTGTTACAGTCGAGAGGCAAGACTGAGGGAAGATGCCCTCTCCTCATGCCTGACTCAAGATCAGTGTCCCTTGTTCGTTTAAAAACAGAGATTGAAGGTCAAAGCTCTTTCTTAAAATGTCAGCATCCACAGGAAATGCACCTTTGCTTTGCCCTGCTACCACCCCACTCAAAACACTCGCGAGGATACTCTGTCCACAACCCCACGTGGGGAAAGTAACAGCTAGGCTAGAAGACAGTTAAGGAGAAAGGTGAGAGAGGGCAGTGTCAGGTCTTAGTGACACCAGACAATTAAGAGCCCAGCTCCCCCACCCCATTAGAGCAATGAGAAAAAAGTGAGGTATTGGGGACCCAGGGAGCAGGTCAGTGGCGAGCCAGACTCACCGGAAAATGAGGAAGCTGGAAACACCAAACATGATGAAAGTGATTCCTGTGCCCAGAGCCACAATTGCCAGGGTTGAAAGAGGAGCTGTAGGGAGAGGGGGACCCTGAGGAAGACTGTAGGAGGCCATGTAAACACCAAGAGAGGGCAATGCTCAGGGCTAGGGAGTAGACAGACTTCTTGAGGGAAGAAGGCAGGGGGTGTGGAAGGAGAGGTAGAAAAAGAGCTATGAGTAGGGGACTCAGTGAGGAGGAGGCTAAAGAGAGGAGAGGAAGGGAGAAAGGGCCACTCCCAGCCCCTGCACACACCCACTTTTATCACAGGATGGGTCGTCCATGTCAAAGGCACAGGGGGGATTGTCCAAGGGGGGCGCCCCCTTCACCCAGGGGATAGGCCGCCCAGTCCACCAAATCTGCTTCTCGGCTCCTGAGTAGTGGGCTGCAGGCTGTGAGAAGGAGAAAAGGAGGACCACAGGCCTGCTCCCACCTCCTCCCAGAGATCCAGCCATTTGTCAGCTTTTCTCCACCTGGGACACAGCTTCAGCCGAGATAATTAGCCCCTCCCTCAAGCACCTCTGTTTCTGCCTCAGCCCCCCACCCCCTCGAATCCTTGAAAGCTGGATTTCTGGGGCCCACACTCTTCCCAGCTTCCTTCCCCATCACCTGAAAGTCCCCTGAATCCAGGTCTCCCATGGCCCACAGGACAAAATCAGTCTCCCGATCATTGTTCTTGTCCATGACAACCAGTCCAGTTACACCTAAAGTAGAAAGAACCCTCTTAGAGATCTGTCCTAGGTCCCTCTCTTATCCCTCCAACCCTTCCTGCTTCTTCAGAATCCACCCCTGCCCCTATTCTTAATGTGTCCCTCTCCACCATATTCTCTGATGCTATCAATGCTCCCTCCTGCCCCTACTATCTGTATTTTCTTCTGTCCACTCTGCTCCCCTGCCTGACAGCCCCCCACATGCTAGCTGAAGCCCTCCATACCGTGGTATCTCCGACCTTGCATCTTCTCCACAATCCGAAGTCCATCTTCCCGAGTGCCCCCTTCCTGTATCGTCTCATTCAGGACTTCAGCATATAACAGGATCCCATCATAGAAGCAGCCAGCAATGAGGTTCATCTGGGGGTGGTAACTTTGGCAATGCCCTCCAAATGTCCTGAGAGGGTCCCCTCCCTCAGCCCTCTTTTCTACCTCCTCTCATTCCTAAGGTGCCCTCCCTACCTAGATGGACATTAGGACAGAAGGAAAAACCTTGGATGACGATAAACAGACCCCAACCCCCCTCCAAGTAGCAGACAGCACCCTTGGCTCCATAGCCAAGGCAAGATGCCAAGTGGGGAGAAGAGCCTTCCCTCAAAGCCTGGTCCGGCTCTAAGGGAAAGAGACAGCTACTTACCAGGGAGGGGGCCAGCTCCACACCAAAATCTTCCCGGGCTCTTATCAACAGACGATTCTGGAATTCCTGATACTCAGGATTGGGTGGTTCTCGGTATGTGATCACCAATACTGTCTGTACCAACAGCACATGGGGGGAGTGAACAGGGTTCGAGATGGGCATTAGGGGAAGAAAGGAAGCAGGAGAGGTAAATGTGAACATGCATCAATGAAAATACATGTGAGGCTAAAGGCTAAGAGGATACTAAGCCCCACATGTTCAAGCCATCTGGGGAGAGACAGGCAGTCCTCCTTGAAAGGTAGATAGGGTGGTTTGGAGAGAAAACAGAGACAACTCCACCCCCCAAGCTCAGTCCACTGTCTTCCTAAAGTACCTGATGACACCATCCAGGCCTCCCTGCCAGGCTGCCTCAGTTCCTCTGTCCCATCCTTTCTGGGTGTTTGTTCATTATCAAGAGCAATGCTGATCAACAGCTCCTCTCCTGAAGTGTTAATTACTGTGATTGTTATCTGTTGTGTTTACAGTTTCAGTGGAACACAGAGACTTCACCAAGTGAATTAAAGAGATTTCAGGCCCTCTGACATTGGGGGTGTCACAGACGTGACTGAAACACAGACGTGATTCCACCTGTGAAAGGCTGTGAGCTCATCCCTTTACATATGTGAGGAACCCGCCATAAGCAGCCCTGTCCCTCCCATGTTCAGACACAGTCCTCCATGTCACTAAGTAGCAGATACGCGTCCCTGAGGAAACACAATCACACTTCTCACACACATTCTGCAGTTTAGTGACATCTGGGGTCTCGGCCATTTGTGACCGTACTGGTCACGAGTCAGCATGTCTCAGGCCTTCACTGGGTGCCTGCCTGGCTCCCCTGGCCTCATACACTTCTCCTTCCCTAGCTGATGGACACGCCAGCCTCTGGCCACCACTGGGACTGAGACCAGCATCTGCCTTTACAGGAAACCAGCAGTGCAACTTCAGGGAAAGACTTCAGATCATAATTATATTTTGTTAAATGTGACTCTGTGAAATGAGACCTTAAAATCTACTCATTTCTACCAGTTCTGTTAATTTCCAACACAAAAGGTCACACAGACCATAGTGCTATTAGCTGTATCACAGATAGTCCATATCAATTCACTGGGAAATATTTCATAAGAAATAACGAAGTCAGTCCTAACAGATGCACACTAGATTGCCCTCACGATATAATTATTGTCACAGCAGCATCTGGAAGTTCTAATACTCTCACACTCTCAAGCAAGATAAAAAAAAAAGGAGAGGGCCTTGGAAAGGGACTGAGGATTCACTCAGTAACACCTGTTCCAAGCATAAAAGAAAAATAGGAGGAAAGATTGTTGGTGAACCATGTGAAAAAAAGCTGGAAAAGACCAGGTTTAACACAATTTATAGTTTAACGTAAAAACTAATGATAGGTTTTGGTGCTCTTTACTGCTTTTGTAATGTAATAATTCTATAGGTTGGTTGGTTTGCTAGCCTCGCTAGCAGTTCTCAAACTTCCTGGTCTTACAAATCCTTTATACTACCAAAAGTTATTTTGGTTATTTGAATTACATTGTCAATATTTATTGTACTAAAAGTTAAAACAGACAAAAATTGAAAATACAAGAAAACACATCTTCTAGAGCAGCCACGGTGATGACATCATCACGCGTCACACAGCCCCGGTGGAAAACTCCACTGGAACAGTCAGAAAAGACTGAGGGTGAGAAGCAAATAACCTCTCAGTCTGATTTTTTTAAAGAGTTTTGATCTCATGATTCCTCCTAAAAGGATTTCAGGTGGCCCCAGGATCCCAAGACCACTTTTTGAAAACTGCTACACTAGACTATTTGGCTGCAGTTAGTAGCTACTGAAAAAACAGAGAACAATAAAAATAAAAAGACACAGATGCTCCGCCAAAGACATTCTGTGCTTGTTTAGGTCTAGAGAGAAGAAGGTGGTGGTAGGTAATTGAGTCCCATTTCACAGTGAAACCTAGGTTGAAAACTTTTAAAAAGCAAAGGCAGCCACAAATGGGTTCAGCAGAGGGCAGAAGCCAGGAATGCACCCTGGAATTGCGCATGGGCAGGAGATGCCTGCCTCTGCCTGCAGACACACCCCACACTGAGACCCACGGAGACTCCATCACCGCCAGCAACACAGTCAGCCATGGCCAAAACAGACAAAGAAGGGAGCCCAGGAAGAGATTCTGCCCGACACAGTCCTTGGCTTAATGCTTCCATTCTCACTGCAGTGTTCCCGTCTGTAACCCACACTCAGGCTGACCACCCAGGCCATGACTTCTGCATGGGCTGCTGACCCAAAGCCCTTGACTGCACATACTGGACCTGTCGATCCTCAGGGCCTGGCCATTTGCTTCATGAGGTCTGTAGTATCTGCCGCTTCTTCCCTAGCCTGGTTGATCACCATGGTTTACAGTCGTTCCTGATAGGTCTACTCCTGTCCAGATAATTCCTAGTCCTATCCCAGTCTCCCCAACACAGACCCTAATTCAAGTGCACAAATGTGTGTTAGCATCGTGGAATACAAAGATGAGCATAGGGCCTGGAGGCAAAGGGGTTAACTCTCAGCACTATGAAGGTATCAGTAGCCACTGCAGCACAAGTTTGATCCCAGCCAGGAGGGTGACCCACATGGCGCAGCAGACCTCTCCTGACCCGCCCACTGTTCGCCTCAGCAGTGTATTTCAGTGAATCTGCCTGGTCTCCCCACTCTGTTTCTGGTGAATCCGCTCATCTCCTGCCCCTCTGGCCTGTACCCTAGTTCTATCTTTAAAAAAAAAAAAAATGAACATGATCCCTGCCCTTCACCAGTGAAGACTTAACTGAGAAAAGTCCTATGACCATACTTCATTTCAGAGCCCCCTTCCATAGCTAAAGTAGCCAGCATGAACAGGGACCTTCTCTTTGAGCATGACATCCTCCTGGAAAAGCCTCAGGCACCTGTATTAAGGACTCCTCACTTCCACTGCCACCTTTTCCAGTCTGACCTAGTCTGGGATCCCAGGGGGTCTGGTATCTCTGGGACATAAAAACTCTTCTTTCTTTCTTGGACTCTTGCTCAGAATTGCCCACCCATCTTCCCTCACTCCCACCCTATGTCAGCATTAGTTAAGGGTGAGAGTAACTCTACCAGGGATACCTCATATCCCCTTCACCTCCACCCTACTTCAAAGCCTTGATTTTCTACTCAGCATATTCCTGGCTGTGTATTTCCCCTTCTCTGGTGTTGAAGCCAAAGGTCTTAGTTTTTCAATCTGAATAACATTAACAGTGAATGGGAGAGATGAGAATGATTTTCTATAGCTAATTGTTAGCTGATTAGGTCCTTCCTCCCCCTGCCCTAAGTACTGGTCTCTGTTGGCTGGTAGGAAATGTCACACAAGAAAAGAGGGGTTTCTTCCACAAAAATATAGGGCCCAGAGAGCTATGGAGTCCTCACACATGGAGCGTGACAGTAGCTAAAGTATATTCTCTTCTCTTGTCTAACTCAATTCTTTGTTGTTTCCCTCCCACCCCCAGTAAAACTTCTCACAATTTGTTCTATGTTTGCATTTATTTGCTTATTTGTTTATTCCTTGTCTATCCTACTAAATATATGCTCCAAAAGGCAGGGACTACCTCTGTTATGCTCTATGCTGCAGCCCTAACATAGTGTCTGGGACATAAATAGGTCAAAGAATGAATCAGTCTTCAAATGAATAATGTGGCCAGTTATACAGCAAAGTTAAGCACAAGAGTAGGAAGCGCAGTAAACCCATGGATTCAGGAATTGTTTCCTAGAAGGGAAAATAGCTGGCCTGAGTTTAAAGAACATGTAAGCATAACCCAAAGTGAAGAGGTTGTTTCAGGCAAAAGTTATAAACAAAACTTATCCTGTCACTGTCCACATTCAAGTGCAATAGTCACAGACTCTTACTCAGGCATTAAATCACACTTATACTCGTCAGTCACAACCAAATACACCATCACAGCCACATAAATTCTCCTTATCGGACAAGATGGCACCCAAGCCCAAACCCCATACACCTCTACTTAGACTCAATCACAGCAGGGAAAGGAGGGATATGACCCCAGCTGGTAGAGGAATCAGACAATAATGCATAGGCACGATTTTGAGAAAGACAAGGGGTGAGGAAAGAAAAAGCATTCCAGACAGAGGAGCAAGGGGTGAGGGGGGTGGAGGCTGGGGTGGAGCAAGGGGCCCAGGGGTGGGTAGATTTGAGAGTGGTCTTGCCTCCTGGAGCACTCGGCCTAGGCAGTAAGACCAAAGAAGTCCACTGAGAACAGGCTGCAGAAAGTGTCAAATGCCATGACTAGGAGTTGGGATTTTCCTCTGTAGGAAGTAAGTAATTGAAACTTTTGAGCAGAGGAGCGAAATGAAGAGTCATGTCAACTGTCTCTCCACTTGCTTAAGTCTATTTCTTCCCATGCTGCTATGGTCACCCTGGCGCAAGCCCACTGGACCTCACTCTGTTATAACCTATTACAGGTGGTCCCGCTCCTTGAGTCTCCTCTTCTAAGCCAACCTCAACCTCTCCTCAAAAAAAAATTTTTTGCAAGGACCCTACAGACAAGCCCGTCCCTTAATCTAAGGTTCAGGGCTCTCACTCTTCCAACTATTCCTCTGCATCTTGTTTCCTATAGTTGCTTCCAGTGAACACTCTTTCTTGTCAGTATCTTCCTGGTTCCTCAAATGTGCCCACACAGTCTTTTTTTCTTTGTTCAGGAGCCCCAGACCCTCTCCACCTCTCTGACTAGGAATATGGCATCTATCTTTAGTGTCACCATGGAGCGTCACCTCCTGCCCAAAGCCTTCCCTAAACCCAACAGCTCACATGACTTTCCCTGGCTCTTTGTGTCAGTTCCAGGACACAGTCACAGCCTCTGTCATACTTGTACCTAAGTGAACCACAACCGTGCCTCATCTCTCCAGAGAGGGGGACCCCCTCCCAGGGGTAGGGACCAGATCTTTCCCTCAACTTTTCTCCCCCACAGTGTAGTCTACTCCTGGCACTCAGGAATGTCAGTGTTCTGGGGTCTTGAGAGGAAACCTTGGCAGACACACTGAGAAGGGAATCACAGAAGTGGGAAGCAGAGGCAAATGATCCTAGACATGAAAACCTCCTGCAGTTCACTGTTTCTGCCCAGTTCCGAGGGTCTCTGTGGGGTCTCATGAGAAATAGAGAATCTCCAAAGAAGGCCCGCTTCCCCCTCCAAGTTTGGCTCAAATTATACCTGGAAAGCCTCTCTGAGGGCCTGGGCCTGTTCCCGGGTGCGATTGTCCTGCCAGGGCCGGCCTGTAGAACGTGTGGGGCCTGCATGGAGACTCTCCCCAAAGACATCCAGGTAAAAGAAGACATAGTCCCCATTGGTCAGGTTCTCCCTCTGGGCCTGAAGCAGGATCTCATGGAGCATCTCCAAAGGACCGCAGATGTACACAACTGGGAGCAGGCACATGACAGAGGGGTACCCTAAGAATGTAGCCTGGCCCCCAAATGACCCCCTTTCTGAACCATCTGCATTTCCACCCTTAGCAAGGAGGAGAGTGCCCTCTCACCCATCTAGCAGATGCTCCCCAGCCCTCCCCCTTGGGTCCCAAGTCCCAAATACCCTGAGGCCATACAGGCCATCTGGCCCAAGTCAGAGCCTGGCTCCAGCCCCCAGAGATAGGAAGCTATTGGCCTCCAGTCCCTCCTCATCCCAGAGTTTCGCCTGCTGCTCCCCACCCAGTCCTCCTCAGTCCCCCACTTTGCCCAGCCTTCCTCTAGACTTAAAGGCACTGAAGGCTCGGAATTTCTCTCCATGGGAGCTTGACCTGACTCTTCCAACCAAATCTGCCCGAGCCCGAGCCCAGTTACAGAGTCCCCACTGTTTTCCTGCCACCGTGGGATCTCAGTCCCAAGTCTGAGAAGTCTCTGCTCACAGATAGCTCCCACCTTGGAGTGGCCATCTACCACACTCACTGCTCTAGGGCACGCTCATGGCTCCCCAAACTCAATACTCCCCAACCCCATATTCTCCCTCAACACAAGCATCATGCCATCTTAGTCCTTGTTTACCTCTGCCTAGGACCCCCACGAGCTCCCCTCACATAAAGCCTCAGCCCACTCAAGGAGTCAATCCACATATGTGCCTCCTGATCCCAACCACGACATACAGCTCAATTCCTTTCCTCCAGCTCCAACTTCCCCGTGCTGACCTCCAGACATACAGGACCCTCCTCCCCGGACCCTGAAGTAGCCTGGGCCACACTCACTGCGCCCGTTGGCCCGGATGAAGTGGGTGGCCTGCTCAGGGCCCCCTGGCTCACGGGCATACACCTGGTGGTGCACACTGAGGTTGCTGCCCTGCAGGGCCTCAAAGACGCCCTCGATGGTGAAGTAGTGAGGCCGGTCATCTGTGCGAGCGTCCAGATACAGCAAGGCAGCCCGGGCAGTCCAATTGAAGTGCCCGTGCAACATCACTACAAACTCACCCAGCTTGGGAGCAGAGGGGCCAGTGCGCACCAGGGTACGATAATGCTCATTCTTAGCCGCAAAACCAGAGGCCACAGCGCCCGCCGTCAGCAGGGGAAGGTGCCAGTGTGAGGCAAAGCGGGCCACAGAGGCAGCGGGGTACACGCAACCGGGGCCCAACAGAAGGTCGGGGTCATGGTACAGCTTGAGGTCCACGGCGCGCAGCGGTGCCAGGTACTCAGAGCAGGCGCCATCTAGTTCAGAGCTGACAAACCGCAGGTCCACGGGCAGTGCCCGGCCCAGCGCCTCCACAGCCAGTGCCACAGCAGGACCCACCCGTGGCCAGGCCCAGGCATAGCTCAGATTGCGTTCTGGCAGCACCACCGCCAGCGTCAGGTTCCGCGCCCCAGGAGGACGCACCCCACCTGCCAGGGCTGCCACCAACAATAGGAGGGATGGCAGTGCCATGGGGAGAAAGCAGCCACCCCACCTCCCCGCGAACCTGGGGCTGCTCTGGCCTACAGGGGAGGCACCAGCACCACCACCCAGCCTGCAACTTGGGGAAGAGGGGAGGGAGAGAGTGAGGTAAGCTGGGTGGGCTGGGATACACAAAGTGGTGGGCCCCCCAGGGCTTGGTGGGAGGAAGCCCCAGCAACTGGGCAAGAGTGGGTCCTCCACTCCGAGGACCTCCTACCTAGGGCAAAGACTGAGGGCCACGAGGAGGGCGGTGGGAGGGAGGGACCAAGGGGGGCTGCCACCGGGATCTGGACAGTGAGAGGTGAAGTCGCCTGATGGGTCTAGAGCGAAGAAGGCAAAGGGGACCCGAGACTGGGATGGGGTGGGGGTGGGGGGCAGGCTGGTACAAAGGAAAGGACTGGGGGGACCTCACAGCTGAAGGGGCTCGGAGGGCACAAAGCTGCGGAAAGGAGGACCAAGGGGGTAAGGTGGGAGGGGGCCGTGCTGCGGAAGGACCCGGACCATGGGCGCGCGGGGAGCAAAGCGAGGCCTGGGCCGGAGGGAAGGGGAAAGCGGGGTAAGTCTCCCGGGAAGGCTTCTCCTCCAGCTCCTGCTGGGACTAACGGGCCCAGGGCGCTGGTCCCATCCGGAGCTGCGGCGGCCCCGCCCGTGTCCCAGCTCCTCGCCGCGCCGCTCCTCCTGGGCCCGGCCGCCG